TTAATTAATAAATAAATAATATAAACTTTTTGAAATAAATAAATTATAATCCAAATTGAATAATATAGAAAATATAATAATAATACTTATAACTTTATATATTTAAAGGAATATTTTTATTAAATTTTAATTAGAATAAATTTTTTTCCTATAAATAATATTAATATATAATTTATTCAAAAAAATATTATAATTATAAAATATTATTTGAATAGTTATTAAATAACCATACAATCATATAATAAATTATAGATAATATAATATTTTATCTTAAAAAAACTATAAAAACAAAATACAATTTATCCTTAAAATTTATAACTATAGAATCGAGAGCAAAGCGCTTATAAAGTGCTTCTATATACTAGTTATGTATATGATTAGATATATGCGCAAGTACGTATGTAAGCGATCGCAATTGCGATTGGGTGCGATCCGTGACAATATATTTATATTTATTATTATATTTAAATTATTTAATTTAATTATTTAATATTAGTTATTTTAGTATTCTAAAATATTTATATAATAATTAAATTAATAAATTTATTAAGATATATATTAATTATATTTTGAAGGTTAAATTCTTTATAATTTTTAAAATTATATATAAGGAATTAATTACTTTTCAGAATATGAAATCAGAATTTTGAAAAATAGATTTAATTCTATTTAATTCTGAAATTATATTTTCGAAATTAAATATTTGAATTTATATATTTACCCCTTCTTTTTCAATTTAGATTAATAAATCTCTTAAATTTCTTATAATCCAATAAAAGCTTTTTTTTAATTAATATTAATTAAATTTCAAATAATTTATTATTAATTAAGCTTTTTTATATTTATATTTGAAATTATATTAATTCTAATTAAAAGTATAAAGAGATTAGCTCATAAAAATATACTTTTAAATATAGAGAATTGTATATTTTAAATAGTAAATAAGATATTAAATAAATATTAATATATAAAAAAAACTTAATTATATTAAGGAAAAGTATTTATTAAATAAAAGATTCTTGATATATTATTTTAATAAAAAATTAATATTTAGATTTAATATAATAAATATTAAAAAAAAGAGAATTTTAATAAAAAAGCATTTTTTAATTAATATTATAATAAATATGGAAAAATAGAATATAATATAAGAATTTATTAAAATAATATAATAAAATCTAGATTATTAGATTTTTAATAGTTTTAATTAATTGATTTAATTATTATTGAATAATATAAAATTGAAAGTATAAATTGAGGTAAAAGTGATGTATTTGGTGATATGATGCACTTGGTGTTAAACCACGTTATATTAATTTGTAAAGTGTTATAAAAAATTAAAGATATATTTTAATTATATTTATAACTTTCAAAAAGCTTTATATAAAAATCCTAAACTTCTTTAAAAATGATTTTGTTTTATATCGAATATATAAGCGAAATATAGTATACTAGATTATAATATATGGAATTTCGATAAAATAGATTTTATAATAAAAATTATAATTATTAATATAATAATTACTAATATTAAAAAGAATAATAAAAGTAAAATAATATAATCAAATAAAAAAAAATAGATAATAATGATTATATATAATAATAATATAAAGAAAATTATATCTCCATTTCTAATAATTTAAAAACAAATATGTTTCTTCAATTAATATACAAAAACCAATTTTCCTATAAATTAAACTATTAAACCTATTAGTAATAAATAAACAAATAATAAAACAGAATTAGAATAATTAAACATTTTAATAAATATACAAAAAATCGCAAAATAAACAAATACCAAATACTAATACTAAATAAATACAAAAGCTATAAATCCATAGCTTTTCAATTATATTATAAAGAAAATAATATTATATATATATATCTATCACTATATTCAAATTATTTAACTCAATCATTTAATATTAAATATTTTAATAGATTAAAATAAGAATATAATACTCAAATTGAGAAGTTTATAAGAATATATATTAATCATATCTTAAAGATCGAATTTCTTATAGTTTTTAAAACTATATATCAATAATCGATTACGAATTAGAATATAAAATCTGGATTCTAAAAAATAGAATTAATATCTTTTGATTCTGAAATAATAATTTCAAAATTAGATATTCGAATATATATATCTACTTTTTCTCCTTTTATTAATTTAAATCTTTAAATCTCTTGAATTTCTTATAATTCTATAAAAGCTCTTTTTCAATCAATATTAATTAAATTTTGAATAAATTATTATTAATCAAGCTTTTTTATATCTATATTTAAAATTATACTAATTCTAATTAAAGATATAAAAAAATTAGTTTATAAGAATACACTTTTAAATATAAAGATTTATATACTTCAAAAAGCAAATAAAATATTAAGCAAATATTAACACACAAAAAAAACTTAATTATATCAAAAAGAAATATTTACTAAATAAAAAACTACAAATATGTTATCTCAATAAGAAATTTATATTTAGATTCAATATAACAAATATTAAAAAGAGAGGAATTCTAATAAAAAAGTATTTTTTAATTGATATTCTAATAAATACAAAAAAACAAATCATAATACAAGAACCTATCAAAACAATATAATAGATTCTAAATTATTAAAATCTTAATAATTTTAATCAATTGATTTAATTATTATTGAATAATATAAGTTTAAAATGATAAATTGAGGTGAAAGTAATCTACTCGATAATATAATCCACTCAATGATAAACCACGTTATATATCTTTTGAAAGCATTCAACCTAATATGAGCGTATTATATAATCAAATCATATAATCAACGATTATAAGTTTCCAAAAACAGTTATAAATATAAAAACAGTCATAAATCCGAAAACAGATTATAAAATAAAGAATAAGAAAAAGAGCTTTATTTCGAAAGAATAGCTGGATTAGAAAGAGATCTATAAAAGATTAACGAAAGCAAAAAAGTGTTACAACGGATTAGTAACAGGCTGTAGAATCACTAACTTATAGGCTATAAAGGTATTATAGGCCTCAGTGATTCAGCTGTAGTATATCGGGGGATATTAGGTATTCAAGGAAAGCCTTAGATATATATATAGTATTAATTATAGGATACCCTAGAAACCTAGAATACAATTTCTAGGATAATAGGTTTTAGAAAAGACAGAATATAGTAAGCAAAAAGGCTTTATTAGGATTAATAATGTTTCAGGGAATTAATCTCAGAATAAAAGAATAAACTAGGATACTAAGAGTTATGGGATTAGTGTTCTATAATGAATAATTTAGGAATAATAGTGTTTTAGGAGTATTTGATTATTTTAATTATTTAAAAAGAATAAAGATTTATATAAGGAAATGGGTTTTATTATAATATAGAGCTTTATGCTTAAGAATAATTATTAGTTTTATTATTATAATTATGAGAATTGCAATTAGTTACAATCTTATTAAATTCCTATTTGAAGTCTAGTCTAAACCACCTCGAAAGAACTCTAGACATTTCTACGTGACCCTAGAGGCAGCTCCCGTAACAAAAAGCTAGATTAATAGGAAAAAGCATAAAATAAGACTTTTTCCCTATTGAATATAAAATAAGAAATTGAATATCGATATAACGTAGTTTAACACCGAGTGGCTCGTATCACCGAATGGCCTACTTCAAAATAAAACAAAATAGATCATTTTTGAATATTCTTATTTTAATAAATAATTATTATTTTTGAAAAATAAAAGAATATAAAATAATAATAAAAATTCAATTTTTTAGAAATCTATTTTTTTTATAAATATTCTTATTATATTCAATAAAAAATTGAAAATGTTATGATTTTTATTACAAAAAATCTATTTTAATAATAACTCTTATTTTAATTCGAATTTTTGAAAAAAGATTAGATTTTTATAACACTTTTATAATTAAATTTTATATATTCAATTTTCAAAAAATTCTATCAATAAATAAATAAAGTGTACGATTACACACAAACGAATTTTGTATATATTTGAAATGGGCTATTCGGTGATATGAGCCACTCGGTGTTAAACTATGTTATAGATTCTTTAATATCATGTGTTACACTACTTATATAATCTATTTTAGTTGTTAAACCGAGCTAGCTTTCATATAATACTACTAGCCTATGATCTACGATAGTATTTTTGTTTTTATTTTCAAAAAAATTGAAAAGTTATAATGTAGTTTAATATCGAGTATATCATTTCAAAATACACCTAAATTAATCTTTTTTTAATATTTGTATTTTAATAACGAATCATTATTCTAATTGAAAAGAATATCTATTGAATAATAAGAGAATATAAGATATTTAGAAATCTAATTTTTATATAAATATTTCTATTATATTTCCAGAAAAAATCGAAATTGTCACGATTTCCGTTACAAAAAATCTATTTTAATAATAACTCTTATTTTAATTCGAATTTTCAAAAAAATAATTCGACTTTCATATTATTTATATAAACAAATATAATAATTTCTTAAAAAAAATCAAGTTATATTAATAAATAAAGAAAGTACACGACTATATACAGACATATTTTATATGTAAAATGCGTAGTGTACTCGATAATATAGTATACTCGGTGTTAAACCACGTTATTAGTAATAATAATAAGTTAATATAATATTATTTCATATATTATAAAAGAGTAGAAGGTAGTAGGGTCGTAGAGTAGTCCTTTATATATACCATAGAAAAGTCACTATAATATAGTACCTTAGATGAAAAAAAGAAGGGAGAGGCTCTATATAGTGCTTTATAAGATATACTAAAAATTAAATAGGAATTGACTGTCGTTTCTAAACTATAGAAAGAAGGACTATAAATACTAGCTACAAGAATAGGCCACATGACCAGCACAAGGTTCCGCTCACAATATCAATATTTCGAATCTTTATATTAGAATGTTTAGAATGTTTAGAATGTTCATAATATTTTTATAAATGTTATAGCAAGGCACGATCGAATCGAATCACGCCCTTCACAACTTGCTCTCTTCACTGCTATCCCCTCTTCTCAATGTGTGTGCATAATGCCAATCATCTCGCCCAATATCCATGCGTACCTTGTACGCTTCTTCCGCGTCTTCTAAAATTTGCATGTCTAATTCTACCACGTTCATTCCTTCTTCTCTTCCCATCTTGCCTAGAGCTCCTTGGAATGGTACGGTGACCTGGCTGATTCCCAAAAAGCCAGAATCCTCTCTTCCTTTTCCTACAGGTGCTCCAGCATTGCAGAATATGATACCGCACGTGTTTTCAAACGCTCGGGATACTAGTGTGGATTGAACAAACAATTCTTCAGAAAGCGAATTTCGTGCCAATCCTGCAGGAGTACAATCGCTGAGAGTCCAGAAGGTTGGGATGATGACGAGTTTCGCGCCTTGAGAAATGAGCTCTCGAAATGCTTCAGGAAATGCAGCATCCCAGCAGATAAGCATACCAACTTTTCCAAGAGGAGTATTGAAAGTAGTATGTGGATCATTCGTAGACGAGGTTAGATGTGGACGTTCAGGATGCCAAAGATTCTTCTTGGTGTAGGAAGAAAGTATTTTGCCTTCAGGAGAGATAAAATGAGCTGTGTTATGGAGATGAGAAGTTTCGGGGTGTATAGTGCAGATGGTTCCAGGGGCGATCGATATTTTGAGTTCGAAAGCGAGAGACTGATAGCCAGAGAGACATTTGGATGTGATCTCGTGGTGACACAGTGGCAGAAATTCGGGTTCATCTGGGACCCATGATGTGAGGTGATATTCAGGCAGAACGACAAGGTCGCAGCCCTTGGAAGCGGCTTCTCTGATAAATTTTACTGCTTTCTTGTAATTGTAATCAATAGCTAAAGGCTAGTAAAATGATATAAGCTCGAGTTCCTTCAAGAAATTAGGAAATGGTGGATATCGCATGTTGTGAATATGACATACGAAAAACAATCAAATGAAAACAAAAGGCAAAAGCAAAGCGAGTATTCTCGAGCCAAGTGTCCCTCTTTCTATCGAAATTGCTGTAACAAACTATATAGCGATGATGACTGAAAGCCAGAATCCCCACATTGAAACCTATGTTGACTCACTAAGCTTGAACAATGAGGAAATGAGAGATGGAGGCGCCTCCAACGGCCTCTAAATGGTACCTTTGTGATACAGATCCATCACTGACAGATCGCTTCCAAAGAATCTAAAAACAGGAATGCCAACGAACCTTCGGGCAAAGCTGCACCAACGCAATCTTATATACTGATGCCATTTTTGTGTTCTAGTGTTCTTAAATTTCTCTTTGCTTCATCAGTGTTTGATCTTGCTGGGCAGAAGTCGATACTTACGGGGGAGTCCGCTTCACGTTTGGTGCTCGCCAAAAATCTCTCAATTCGGCTGACTGACGGAAGTCTTGTAAGTAGAAAGCAATCATAACAACGGAGTGACGAACGTGGGGTTGAGGAGCGGGGGAAGTGAAGCGGGCGCTAGCGGAAAGATTATACCCAATCGGGACTAGCGCTATGATGCACTTGCGGGCAGGTGAACTTACTTCGTACAAACTCATCAACCTTAGCGACAAGAGGGTCCTTGAAAAACGATGTATGGCAAGTTCTCATTAAAGATTGATACTGCTGAATACCTATTTTATGTTTGCTATATATCAGTAAAAATCGATGGAATTCCGTCCGGGGCGTTTTGCTATCTTTCGAGATTAGCCGGGGGTTCATTGGCTGATGGAAATGATGACTTTAGTGAAACATGTCATAGTGGTCAAATCCCGCAGCCTTTTTACGACATTGATGTTGTATCACCTGTAGCTGAGCCTCCGCTTCTTTTTAAAATTTCCATTACTAGTTCGAAATCTGTTCTTGGTCACCAAGATGATGAATCCTTTAGACGTGTTGTCATTAGCAGGAACCATTATTCAATTTGTGGATTTCAGTTCGAAGGTGTTGGCTGGTACTAATGAACTATACAAATCGGGCGCGGAAGCTTTGGCCGTTCACCAGCAATTGGGCCTTGTGGTGGATGATCTAGCTAAGATGTCGAAGAGGCTCTCGGATTCATACTGGGGCTTATCTGGGACGGGAGTCATTTCTACACTGTCAGATGACGCGTTTATGTTCATTTGCAGAGATGCATCAGAATTGTCCATTGAACTCAATAATAAGCTAAGCAGTTTAAAAGTGACAGCCTCTGGCAAGCGTAGGAAATGGGAAACCGTTAAGCAAGCGCTGAAATCTGTGTGGACTGAGAAGGACTTGACAGCTTTAACGAATCGACTGACTTTACTGAGAGATTCGATTCAGATGCATATCGTCGTGGATCTTCGGTGAGTAACTCAATGAAGTCCTCTATCAATAGAAAATGACGAACATAAGAGATCAACTCGATTCGATATCGTCAAATCAAGAAGTTCGCTTCGATCACCTCGACTATAGTACGAGGACTATTATTACTGCCCTTCTTACACATCAGGGTGAAGTCAGCAAAGGGATCCAAGATCAAACGATGGCAATTACCCAGTTACTCGGGAGAATGGAGATTCTAGCTGAGAAGCACGCGTTTCCATCAGGTATTGTGCAGCAGGTTGACAACATTGAAGTAAATCAGTGAGTTCATCTTGTTCTTTCTTGATTCTCGTTATTTAATCCCACGCCATACTTTCAACAGTCCAGATTGTTGTCTGTCAACTAAAGCCTCTCGACCCGCGAGTCGTTCAAAATACTTGAACATCCCTGGATCTTTGATTGGATCCGAACATTCGCTCATTTACCTATGTATTAGAAACAAAAGTTTGATACTCGCTGGAGAAAAAACATCTCAGAATCAGGTGCTAAACAATTCTGAGTGGCACGAAAAGGCACTACGCTTGCAGATTACTCAATACCTTGTCCAAAATTTAAAGTTCCCAGCATTGAAAGAACGAGAAGAAATTATTGCGGATGTATATCGAGGAACATTCGAGTGGCTCTTCAATGACAGCCATGAATCTACACCGTGGCCTAGCTTTACCCGTTGGTTAGAACATGGATCCAATATTTACTGGATCAACGGAAAAGCGGCTTCGGGCAAGTCAACGCTGATGCGATTCATATGTGATCACAGTAAAACGAAGGAATTTTTAGAGAACTGGTCGGCTCCGCTACCCATCGTCATAGCCAAGTTTTATTTTTGGAACAGCGGGACTCTTGTACAAAGGTCTCTAAGCGGTCTTCTTCGAGCTCTTCTTTCCCAGATTCTGGAACATTGTCCTGATCTTCTTCCTGTGTGTTTTCCCCAAAGATGGGCCAAAATCTACACTGATTCGGTTAGACCATTCTCTGAAGTAAACCAAAAGTTTCATTCAATGGAAATGGAGTACTGGAGTTTAACCGAATTGCAGGCCGCAATGCGGAGTCTCGTAAGCCAAAGCCCACAACACTTCAAACTTTGTTTGTTCGTTGATGGTCTTGACGAATATGAGGGAGAACCTTCAGCTATTACCAAATACTTTAGCGTGCTCGCTCAGGTACCGTGGCTGAAAATATGCGTCTCCAGTCGTCCGTTACTTGTATTCGATGATGTTTTTGGATCTGGGCCATCATTGCGGCTACAGGATCTCACAAGTACCGATATTAACCATTATGTCAAGTCAAGTCTCCAAGAGAATGTCAACTATCAACACTTATGCGTCGAACAGCCCATTGAAGCACTAACTCTGATCAGAAATATTGTATCGCGAGCAGATGGTGTTTTCTTGTGGGTTAGACTTGTACTACAGGAGATTGTGAGAGGTCTTGACAATAGAGATAGCCTGCGAGATTTGCAAGAACGTATGGAAATAGTGCCGCAAGACCTGGAGGAACTATTCTCCTCAATGCTTGAAAAAATTGAGCCCTTCTATCGCAAGAAAGCTGCATCAATTTTCCTTATTGTCCGAGCGGCAAACGTCCATCAGAGGAGTGTTAAATCATTGGACACACTTATGCTGTCATTTGCTCTTGATCACGGCACCAGTCGTTTTACAGATATCAAATTTAAGTTTCAGGGCCTGGAGTTGAGAAACAAGGAGATCAACGATCATCTAAAAGTACGATGTGCAGGGTTGCTCGAGACTGTACCTAAATACTCCCCAGGCTTTGAATACCTTGGACATCGCGTCACATATTTGCATCGTAGTGTCCGAGAATACTTAGAACGTCCAGATATACATCAGAGATTCGCGGAACATAGTAATGGAAGAGGCTTTGAGCCCCACACTGCCCTTATGTCTTCATACATAAAAGAACTTCAGATCTCCGAACCTCGAAAAAACATTTTAAACCAACCTTCGAGCCTTCCTTTATTTTTGGCAACAGTCCTCCACTACGCCCATGATGCTGACATTGCGGGGTCAAATGCTTACGTTGAGCCATTAGATAAATTTGCGACTTTAACGCACAGTGCGAGGTGTAAAAGCATCATTTGGGCGCCGGCAAAGTTCTCTTCCTTTCTACACATCGCGACCAAATGGGATCTTTGTGCATACGTCAGAGTTCTCTTAGAGAGACTCACCTCCGAAACGAAAGGAATTGTTGCTCACACCTTGTTGGCATATGCGCTTGCGGGAACAGATGAATACTACGTGCATGGTATGGAGCAGATGGACAACTCGGATTATCGGCGAGATCGATTTCCTCCTAGCAATCGCATGATAGAATTACTGTTGCAATATGGAGCGCAGCCTAACAAAAAGCTGAAAGACTTTCCAGCCCTTCGTGAATGGACTGCGTTTGAGATAGCTGTTCGTAATGTTTGCGCAATCCTACCGCCTGTGGATACGGAAGAAAGTGAAAATCGGCAATATTCTGAGGAGGAGAAATCTTTGGTCTCAAACCATTTGGCAATTGTTAAACTCATGCTAGACAATGGGGCAGATGCGAATACGACCCTAACTCACCAAGGACGAACAATTACCTCAAGAAAGTTGTTGACTGAGACAATGGGAAAGTATTGGAGAAGTCAAGAGTGGAAAGTAGATGAAATGTTCAGGATGAAAGGTGGTAAATTGGAGCCATCGATGATCAAGAAGTGGATCATGACGCGTGGGAAATATTGGGTTGGCAAATATTAATTACTCAACCACGTATTCTCAACGTTCCAGTTTAATTTCTTCATTTTACCAGTCAAGGAATCTTTTGATTGCAATGGGAAATACTGCAACGAAACATTGCACGTGTAAATAGCACCAGTACCCGAATTAAGGAAAACTTTCTATGTCAAACTAAATGAGATCTCACTTCCTGAGATATCTTGCACTGCAGCATGTTACGTAGTAAAACCAGACTTAGAAGTCCCCTTCCTGCAACTGCATCTACAGATTCGTCGAAGGTTTAGTTCATCCGCGCCGCCACGTAGGAATGATTATGTTGTCGTCACAAGAAACAGCAGAGAAAAGAAGCTGAGGTCATTGTATTGTGATTTATCCTAATACTCATGATCAGTCCATGCTTTGGTCAATGTTATTCGATACACGCTCTGGACTACCGCCTAGCTTGTGGTGGCGCGTTTGTGACCCTATCTTCGTAGAAATCGATGATCCTCTTCTTCTGCATGATCTCTCGTTCCCGGATGCGCGATGAAAGTTTGCGGTGTATGATATCATGAGTCTGAATTCGTCAATTCCATGGTAGTTATAAGGTTAACTCTCAGGATAGGTTCTGGATTTTGTTAAATTTTCTCGTGCGATCTTTTCGATTGACGACAATGGTCTCGTACATTCGAATCGGGGTTTCATATCTTGCCGCAGAACTTATCAGTGGTATGCGCTGCTCGAGATCCAAACAAGAAGTTCGATTATATTCATCTTTCAGTAGGAATCTTCCAGACATTATTGAGCCTTGATGAGTGACAAGACTTTAAGTAACATCACATTATTGATTATATATCTTTCGTCATCTTTTTGCCCATTAGTACAATCTATCCTCACCGCTCATACCAATCATACTATAAATTAAAAAAATAAAGTGAATGTTGTCATCCCAGCTGATAAAGGTCCATTTGCCGCCGTGGTAACAGCACGCTCTAGGGCAGACACACGACCTCGGTTGTAGAAACTCAGTTCGTCTGGTTTGGAATGGTACCGTACAAGCTTTACTCCTTAGTCCATCTCTTTTGCCATTTTTTGCGTTGATTTTGTGGTTGTTTCCGAGGGTTCTAGATTGGGTGGTTATTGGCGGGTGGAAAAGGAGGGAATTGTGGGGATGGGAATGAGATGGAGTGAATTTTGAGATAGATTGTGAAGAATATGAATGCTTATCTAGGTATATCGATTATATACATATATGTTAGCTATTTTGTTCTTTTAATAAGATATTATATTAACATAATATAATATATATTGAAAGCAGCCCCTAAGTGTCTGATTTTTACTACACTCAAATTGAATTTTTAAATTATATTATTCTTATTATTTGTACTATTCTTCTTATTCTTCTTATTCTTCTTATTCTTCTTATTCTTCTTATTCTTATATTAAAAATAAAAAGTATAAATAAATAAACTATATTGATAATAGAATATAGAGAATTTATATTATATCCAAAAAATCTTCAATTATGTTTTAGATATTATTATTATTATATATTAGAATATATAATAAAGATCAAATAATTAGAATAAGAAAGTTAAAGAGGAAAGAGATTTCTAAAAGATTTTTTAATTTTTTATATAATAATAATCGTCTTAGTTCAAGCTAGCCTTGAATTAAGATGTTATGTGATATTCGTCACAGGTATCAATACTCTCAAGAGAAATTCAGACATCGAACACCTCCTACAGAAAGCGTTGTGAATCACAGCGCTTCCAACACTTAGAGACATTTCAAATTTCATCATTATTTCTTTTCACAGTGATAGTGTATTTCTTCGTCGCATAACAAGTAATAAACACATTATAGCGGAAGCAAACAGCGCAAAATCCAGATCGTTCGTGTGTGCGCGCTTACAGTTGTTGGTCCGGTATGTCTTTTCAATTTCTCACCCCTCCCTAGAAGATAAGTATTGAGTCGATGTTGTACGAGGCCTGGTGATTTCTCCCTGGGCACCCAATGCTTTTAGCCTATCAAATTCGTTGAGAAACTTGGCCTTGTTTTTGATTCCCTCGTGGTTGAGTCCCAAGTCTCTTATTAATCCCTCATTGTCGAATCCCAAGTCTCTCCCTCGTGGTTGAATCCCAAGTCTCTCACTTCATTGTCGTATCCCGAGTCTCATCTCCTTTTTAATCATATTACAGGTTCTAGTGTTGATCCTTCGTTGTTGAGTCCCAATTCCCAATACTTTTTTGATAATGACTCAAGTTCCTACGTTGATCCCTCGTGTTCGGAACCCAAGCCTCCGCGCCAAGTCATACTCTTTCAATACCGATTCTCGTTTCCCTCGTTGTTGTAACCCAAGTCCCTTTCCCTCTTCCTCGTTGTCATATCCCTGGTCCACCTGACCCTAGACTATTCAATGACACAAGGCATGGATTGATGGGAGAAAACATGCTCAATTCTTAGTTTTATTACCATTATCGATGCTTCTGATCCCGCGCTTTAATTGATCAAATCAATTTTGAACAATTTCTTGGTCGGTCCGGCTGTCCCGGATGTTGATTTCAAATATTTTGTTGTGAAAGTGAAATAATACTCGCTGAACCGTGTCTGATCTTCCAAGGCGTTGTTCCATCTAAGACTGTGAAATAAAATGTGAGCGGCTTCAAAAAGTCGCATTTTCGACCTATCCATCTCAAGCCGTAAACTAATATATAGATTTAAAGTTTATGAATAATCGTACAAGTAGAATCTATGTAAGCACACAGAGCTGTTGATCCAGTATTCGATTTGTCGATGCCTTCCTTCACGAAGTCCATGTGATATTTCCTCTGAATTCCAGTTCGAAGGCGCACGCATCCTATCTCAAGCAAAATAATTTACACAAAGTCTGTAGAAATTCGACCATGTAAAGTCCGTTCCAGTAGAAATATAGCGTAAATATGAAGCCCAATCCAGCGTTGGCGCGTTGTTGGTTGATGATTGAAATCGAAAAGTTGTTGATTGAAGTGGGTTGTAAAGTTGAAGATTTATTTTTGAAAGCTTCAATTCTCGCGAAGGTAATTTGTGCGCCAGCAATACCCGAATATCACGTGTAGTATTAGGGTAACTATTCTACGGGAGTCAAGTCACCTACAAGTTGTTACAAGAGAGAAAGATCTCTCCAAATGTTGATTTTATATTTCAAGAAATTCAGGACTCTGGACCGACCAGTGGGTGTGCGGACTGACGGGACACTGCAAAGACAAACTTGTGAATATCCTTTAATACATTGAGTCAATTATTCCAGGAATTTTATAACTGTTCATCAGAGATGAAACAATCAAAACACAAATTCTGATATCGAACAATTGAAGAACGAACTTACTGAAAATATCGAAAATTGGAAAGTATCCCATCAACGTATGCAACCACTGGTGGTTCTGAGATTTGCGTTCAACGAGAGCCAACCATTTCAAAAGGAACTAAGAAAGAAGACGAAACGTCAGATATGCAACAAAACTTTTTAACTTGTGGTCTAGGCTTGGCCATGGGCACTAGACTGGCTATCCAGGGTCCGCCTATACATGGTTATGTGTTACTGCCGGGCAGGAGGCGGGATTGGGCATGCAGGGCTGATAAAGAAGACTTTTCCAATCTTCAGATGTGCAACAAAACTTCAATAACAGATTGGCCATCGGTTTGGGCTCGATAATATACTGGCTAAAATTGTACTTGAACCTTTTCAAATATGCAACAAAACAATTTGGTCATAGCATGCTTTAATAAAACCCCACATGGAGAAACTTGACAATATACCTCAAGTCTTGCGCTCGCGATTCTATTGGCTCCGTGAGATTGCTTACGTCAAATTCGATGTCCTTCAGATATGCAACAAACCGCTTAGAGTTGAACTTCCCACGTGGTCCTGATAGTGAATACAATAATCTGAGGGAAGCAGCCGTCTATTGCACATCTGAACTACCAGGCCACAATGTTAGATATCTACGCCAAAAGGATCCTTCCGATGAGCGAGTAGATGCGCGCCAATGGTTGAAAAAGACAAAGCTTATACGCCACTTGGTTATAAAACCGTTTCTGGTAGTCAGTTACATAAAAGTGAATTCATGGGTCGGGAGTTGGGGAACTCCACAACGGTACTTGAGATATGATAAGATCTCGAATATTTTGGAGAATGGACTTGTCCAATAGACTGACGAGCGCAAAGCTCGGGTCACCTTCCTCTCTCTTGCGCTCAACGAGAGCCAACCATTTTAGAGAGGCTAAAAAAAAATCAAACATTCAGATATGCAACAAAAACAACCTGTGTTTCGATTGTACCCAATAGATGAAAGAGCGCAAAGCTCGGGTCACTTTTTCTCTCTCCCTTTCCTTCAGATTCTACGAGAGCCAACCATTTCCAGAGACGCTAAAAAAAAGGTCAAACATTCAGATATGCAACGAAACTTCTCAAAATCCTGTATGTATCCAATAATTTGACGAGCTCAAAGCTTGGATCTCCTGATTCTGGCTCTTTTTCTTCTGCGCTCGCGAGAGCCAACCATTTCAAACGGAGCTAAAAAACGATCCAACTTTCAGATATGCAACAAAACTGCTCAAGAGTTGTATATACCCAATAGCTTGACGAGCGCAAAGCTCAGGTCACTTTTTTTCCTTTGCGCTCAACGAGAGCCAACCATTCCAAATGGAGCCAACAAAAGGTTCAAACTTTCAGATATGCAACAAAAGATTTGTGCTGGATTTCCACGCGCGAGCCACGCGCGAGCCACGCGCGGGCCACGTCGGTAAGGCTGACAGCAATAGTGAATAACTTTGAGGATGTAATGTTGCATATCTGAATTTCTGACCCTTGCCCAATGTCGGAAGGGCTGGTTTCGTAGAGGCGCAAGCTGATCCTGGCCTTTGCAATTGGCTTTCAAGTGGCCAGGCACAAGGTGTTCGTCTGAAATATTGAGGACGAGATAAAAGCGCAGAAGTTAACACAGGACGACATAGTATAAACATACAAAGCGACAACTTGAAGGATTAGCGCAAAGCTTGTGACAGTTTTCGCTCTGGGGAATGGCCACGAATCAAAATGATTTTCAATGAAGATCAATGAAGAACAAACAAGCAACTGTGGGCAATCATAATTAATTACCCAGTATATAGTTTGCTCCAATAACTCGAGACGTCATTTTCGCCAGCATCAATGTGTTTGGGAGCTGCTCAGTAGATCTATCACTGAGATATTATGCCACATCCAGTAAGGAAAAGTACCAAGACAAGAAGGTTGAGTCTTTCAATTGCAAAAATCCTTCGAAAATGGGTTTCGACAACTCTTCATAGCTGTAGTTCAAGAAAAGATTACGTGATTCAACTGGCATTGGTATTGCACTTGCAACGGCGTACATCCCTTATCGGACACAAATTTGCGCTGTAAGACGGCCTCGCTACTACACATTGAATTTAAAAATAGGAGTGAGATATATCTAGCTATAACCTACAGAATAAGAGTCACTGGTAGCGTATCCATTCCGTCTGGTACACCCCATGAAAGTTCTAAATCTGATTGTGCAATGGGCCGAAGATCTTCCCCGAGAAGGAAAGCCATGGGCGGGTTTTGCTTGAAGCCAATCCATGAGACATTGTTGTCATCATATCAATAGGCTAAGCATTTCGTCAACAGATCTACCAGAATTACCTTTCTGCGCACCATTTCATGTTCAACGCAGATTTCTTTGGAACGCATGTCGTTGAATTTGACGTTTGAATTAGCGAGTGTGATTACATAAATGCTTACTCACAAGTAACTCATTCCACCACCACATTGACGACCGAGCAATCGAAAAGTGTGTTTTCATGAATCTTTTCTTTGACTACCTATCAGCATCAATTTTTAATATAAGAATAAGAATAATAAAAAGATTAAAAATAATACAAATAATAAGAACGATGTAAATAGTAAGAACAATATAAATAATAAGAGCGATATAAATAATAAGAACGATACAAATAATAAGAACAATCTAAATAATAAGAATGATGGTTATAGATAATAAGAATAATATAAATAATAAAAACAATATAATTTAATAATTTAACTTGAGTATAATGAGGATTAACGGTTTAAGGGCTACCCCCTATATATATTATATTATATTAATATGATATTTATTAAAAGAATAACATAGCAAATATGTATAGTGAAAATCTCTCATTATATAAATATAATCGGTATATAGAACTCTGAGTCAAGAAAATTAAGACTTTTGCAAGTGTGGCCATAGGTTAATTGATAGATACCTACCTACAAAACTGTAGGAATTCCTCTAGTGACTGTTTGTAAATCTGTATATGCAAGCTGAATTGCTGCTCTCTCTAACTCCTGGTAAACCCTCATTGAAATCATTATCATGCTCGTAGTCTACACCCCCTGTGTGTTGAGATCCATCTAGTACTGTATAGATTTCTTTATAGCGTCATAAATCCCTATAATTGTCAGCGATTGAATCAAATCCCAGCGAGTTCATCGAACTTACTAGCAACATCTGGTACGTTAAACTTCTCAAACATCAATGGCATATGGATGCCCCAACCGGCGACTCTAGCCACAGGTGCCTCCATTCTCAAAAATGTCTCCTTATCCCCTTGTATGCTTGCAGCAACTTCCGCACCAATGCCGGCATTTATCATACTTTCATGCACTACTACACATCTTCCTGTCTTCCTTACACTTTTTAATACCGTCTCTTTATCCCATGGATAAACCGTTCGCAGATCGATCAATTCGATATTTATACCGAAATCCTTTTCTGCAGCTTGTAGTGCAGCGGAGCATGTATACATAGGATGACCGTAAGATATCAAAGTCAGATCCTTTCCGGGCTTGACCACTTCTGCCACCGAGAGAGGCAGTGTGTACGCATCTACTGGGACCTGCTCGACAGCTGCTCGGTACAGTGCCTTAGGTTCCATAAAGATACACGGATCTGGACTTTGTATGGCGGAAAGAAGAAGACCTTTCGCTTGGATTGGCGATCGTGGCATTATGACTCGAAGACCGGGAATATGCGTGAATAGGGATTCGGGAGATTGAGAATGATATCTGTTGGAATCTCTTCATTAGTCTGCGTTGCGTCAAAATAGATCATGGAAGTAAAAACGAACAAAGCGCCATGTCCCACTGCACCACAGGGCATTCTAACAGTGAGTCCACCCAATCCTCTCCCATATTCTCCATCTCTATATCTCCATTTTGCTGCCTCATTGACCAATTGATCAAAAGCCGGATATACATAATCAGCGAACTGGATTTCTGCGACAGCCTTCATACCTTCCGCCGCCGCTCCAATCGCGAATCCTATTATTCCTTGTTCGCACAATGGCGTATTGAAAACTCTTTCTGATCCATATTGCTCTGCAAGTCCAGTGCTGCAACGAAATACCCCTCCAAATCCTACGTCTTCACCAAAAACCATAGTTGTTTCATCTTTGGATAATGCGAGTGATAATGCATCATTGATTGATTGGAATAGGTTCATTCGTTTCGTGGCACCATTTCGTATTTCCGGTGAAAGCTCTGGATTCTGCAACGCACTAGATGAAGTATGGCTTAAGATAGCAGTTGATCCATAATCAACTGCCTTATTTAGTTTTGCTTGCGGAGGATGTGTGGAGTATGATCTTGGGAATCTCGAATTGTGGACAACACCTAAGGGTTTCAGCGGTTTGACCAAGGAAGTCGATAATCTTGAAGTTATTCGCATGATGGATAGGAGTTATGATCACAAGTACGACGTTCTACGACGTTGGATGAAATGATTGTATTGTTTTAAAAAAATTCCATGATAGTGATGAAAGTACATTGTTGATGTACAGTTACAAAACGCGGAGAAATCTGGGGTAGCCGTTTGTAACCACATCTAAGCGTTTGATTGATAAACCGATAAACCGATAGATCTCGTAGCACGTGTTTGGCGACGGGATCTAAGCGCCAAGCTATTATAGACCAGCCCCCAAATTTATGCGGATGAGGATGTTGCTGTGGAAACAAGATAATAATCCTGGAAATTCGATGCGCATACGTATGTTGAGCATACAGATTTTTCTGATGCATGATCAGCACGAGCACGATTCATTGTACATATAAACCATGTCAATTCTATAATTTAGTTATTCTGGGAAATCTGTTTTACTTATCATCTGCGAGAACTGGAGGAGGAGAGAATGGCTGGGGACGCGACTGAACGACCACATAGAAAGAGTACGTTACACGAAAAACGACGAGCAGAACGACGAACGAAGGCTATTGTCGCAGAATCAGAGGCGGCTTCTGAACCAACTGGATCGCAAACTTTATCAATTGATTCCATAGCAAGATTAAATGATTCCCTTGAGCGAGAGAAGAGGAGGGAGGAGAGGAGGAAATCAAGATCGCGACCACCAGTGAAGGAAGATCATGGACGATCGAGGGAACGAGGTTCGCCCAGTAAAGATAGAAGACGAAAAGAGCGCGGTTATGCGACTGAGGATTCTAGTTCGCCGATTAAAAATAGAAGGAGAGAACGCGATTATGATGAGATTCCTGGATCACCAAGTAGAGAAAGAAGGAGACGAAACGAATATACCGATGATGAATCTGGTTCGCCAAGAAAGGACAGAAGGAGACAAGAAAAGGGATATAACGATGATGAATCTGGATACCCTGGCAAAGATGCGAAATTTAGAGACGAAACAGCGGCAGAAACAGCTGCACGACTTCAAAAGCTGAGAAAGCAAAACGGCATTTCCGAACCAAAACCAAAACTAAAGCCGAAGCCAAATGCGCCGCGTAAAGAGGAACGGAGTTTGAAAATACCAAACACATATACAGATGACGAGACTATCTATGAGAAACCTCGGAAAGAGCCAAAAGGAAAGAAACGGAGAGTTGTTAGTGGAGCACTTTTGGAAGAAGGTGAAGGGGAGTTGAAGCAACGAAGAATGTTTAGTGGCGCAGAACTGAAAAATGATCTGAGACATCTGAAAGGGTTGAGAGGTGGATATGCGCCTACTGAATCAAGCTATCCTGACAAGTACATCGAAAGCGACGAAGATTTTAGAAAAAGGCGGAAACGTATCTGTGAGTTTTCAAACTCAAGGTCGAAGGAGTCAATTTTGAGAGCTGATAATGTATTTAGGGATGGGAATTGGCATTGGCATAGTAATTTTGATAATTATAATAGCAGTTGCAGTAAGCGCCAGCAAAAAGCATACATCAAGTTCTTCCTCATCTACAGCCCCTGCAACAGAAAGTGGAACTCCTTCAAATTCAAATCTTGATGGGATGTCAGAAAGTGATATCCCGGTTGCAGCCCAAGGAACATATTTGGACCCATTTACATGGTACGATACATTGGATTTCAATGTCACATACACGAATGAGACTGTTGGAGATCTTCCGGTTATGGGTTTGAATACCTCATACAGCGATGATGTAGCACCAAATTCCAAGGCACCAAAGTTGTCTGCCGCGTGGGGAGCTTATACTTCAAGACCAGCTAGAGGTGTCAATTTAGGTGGCTGGCTTTCTATCGAACCTTTCATCACACCGTCCCTTTTCAACTCTTACTCATCAGCTGATGGAATCATTGATGAGTGGACACTGACTACTAAATTGGGTGCAACTGCGGCTGCATCTACCCTTGAGAAACACTATGCAACCTTCGTTTCCGAGCAAACATTTGCCGACATTGCCGCTGCTGGACTGGACCACGTTCGTATCCCTTACTCGTACTGGGCTGTGATAACCTACGATGATGACCCCTATGTTTTCCGCACCTCATGGCGTTATCTCCTTCGTGGTATAGAATGGGCTCGCAAATATGGTCTTCGCATCAACCTGGATCTTCATGCACTTCCTGGATCTCAAAATGGTTGGAATCACTCCGGCCGTCAAGGAGCTATTGGTTGGTTAAACGGAACTAATGGCGACCTAAATGCTCAACGCAGTATCGAGATTCACGATCGGCTCTCTAAGTTCTTCGCTCAAGACCGCTATAAGAACATTATTAGTTTCTATGGCCTCGCTAATGAACCTAGAATGACATCTCTTGACGTCAATGATGTCTTAAACTGGACATCTACCGTCACTGACATCGTCGTGAAGAATGGTATCTCCGCATATGTCGTTATTGGAGACGGGTTCCGTGGACTCGAGAATTGGCAGGGCGACTTGACAAGTTATGATAATCTAATCTTAGATGTTCATCAATACGTCATTTTCAATAGCGGACAGATTCTTTACAACCATACAGAGAAAGTAAATTATGCTTGTAGTGGTTGGACTCAACAAACGGAGATATCTATGAACACAAGTACAGGATTTGGGCCCACGATGGTTGCTGAATGGTCTCAAGCCGATACGGATTGTGCGACCTTTCTCACGAATGTCAATCAAGGAAATAGATGGGAAGGAACATATGATACCGGAGACTCATCGACACAACAAACGACGCCAGATTGTCCAACACAGGATAGCACATGTAGTTGTACCAATGCGAATGCAGATCCAAGTACCTACAGTGATACATACAAGAGCTTTTTGAAAATGTTTGCCGAAGCGCAGATGTATAGTTTCGAATTAGGCTGGGGCTGGTTTTATTGGACGTGGGCTACGGAGACTAGTGAGGGTGGTGGCACACAGTGGAGTAAGTTCCCTACTCCTCGCGTCTGCAGGACTCCTATTCCCCATACGGAGAATGGAATGAAAGGAGCGATCAAGGACCAAGGCACGAAGAAAATCACTGGATGACTGCTAACAGATTGGTTAAATAGGCTACCAAAGAGGATTAGCAGCCGGCATCCTGCCAAAGCTAGCATACGATCCGGACTTTAGATGTTCATCAACAGTCCCGAGCTTCAGCGCATTGCCTGAATACTATTAAGCAATATCTGTCAGCTACTCGACCAAGTTGGTGACGGTTGTAGAAAGTAGATATATATAAAAATTGAATGCACAGCGCGAGCGATTGGTGTAATTCTACGACGATATGAATGACGTACGCATATAGAGGATTTGACCACATTTTTGAAACTTCGCGGCATAATTCCAGGAATATGGAGAGAATTAATTGCATTTGTTTATGAACATGACAATATAAGCTGGAGCTGTGGAACTAATGGGCGGAAGCTGTGTTTTGGAGGCATGTTATAGAGCCTGCGAGAAAATCGTTGTGCCAAGGTGTTTACGGAAAAGTTGCAGTATGGCGTAATGGGGGTCTCCTAAACAGGGCTAATTCTCAAATTATATGGTTGTATAGGAGGATTTGTACGGTAGCACGAGAGAATGAAAGTGATTGAATGGTGTGAACTGGAACAATTATCAGTTGGTAGAATTAAATCCATTAAGACAGTTATATCAATTGGTTTAATCATAGGGCTTTGAAGGGGGAGTTGAAGGTCACAACATGTCTCCCCTTTGGTATCTACTTCCACTCCCACTCCCACTCCCACTCCCAGGCCCTCACAACAACGTGTGCAATGCGCACTCTAACTTGGTAGATTGTATGGATTTAACTGAATTCTGTTCCAATTCTTAGCAGCTGGGCATGATTTGGTTTTTTCTCCTAATGTATATGTGTTCACAAGTTTTAAAGTTCTAAATTGTTTTGGTTAGTCAAGTACTAAGAGTCTTAGCCTCAGAATATCTCCATGTTCTCTGCGATCTAACCCCAACTATCACATATCTTTCAACCAGAGGAATTAGCGCTTCTAGAAAAGTAGTTTTTTGTAGATCACTTCCTGTCATTTAACGTGGAGAGCAAGGAATCTATAACGAGGGCTCCAATCAAAATCAATTGTAATTAATCCTGATCCACTTGTTTTCTTCCTAAAGCACTACGGTGGTTTAGATGATTTAAAGCATCGAACTATGACATGCATCATCATTCAAGTGAGTAGATAAAGGCATTATGTTGGATCGATTACCAAACTTCATGGCCTTGGTCATCTGCCTAATACACTCACCTTATGAATCAAGACAAGCCAAGATTCTTTTGGTTCGGTCATTCCTAGGACGAAATTCTTGGCCAAAAGCTAAACTCAACCTCCTTACTATATTATATATATATATATGTTTGCTCCCCAGTAATCACAAAGATTCCAACACACAACTTCCATTGAAAAACAACATACAATGGCGCTCCTCATTACCCCCTCTTCTGCGATGGCAACAATCACTGTGACTAAGACCCTATATGACATCGTTTCATTAACTACGTTAAGCACCATCATCAGCCATAGTCTCACTGCAGATATCGCTGATACTACACGAACCATTTCCATCAACGGCACAACATCCACATTTTCACCTGTGAGTACAGATGATTGACTAATGCTATGGTGCAATTGCCCTCTGCTTTTGTATCCCATGCTCATTTTACTTTTGCTTCCTAATAGAGTATTGGATCCTCGTTTTGTTACTTGTCTCGCGAAATCTATGCTTAGTAGGCAATACTAACACTCCGACCCCGCAGTTTGCCTCTCTCACAAACAACTTATCAAATATAACCACATCAACAACCACAAAAACAGACCATGCATCGAATCCTTGGTGTATGACTTTGTTAACTGTGCCAGTAGTATTACTTTTGGGTATTATCTGGGGCACGATTCTCCACGTCTTCTCGGAAAATGAAAGTCGATGGATTTATTTCCTACGCTACGGCATAAATGCCGATATCAGAGCTGAGGAAGACAAGGCATCCAAGGAAAGAAAACTAAGAGAAGCGGAGTTGAAAGAACAGTTTGAAGAACAGTTGAGGAGATTAGATGAAGAGCAAGCTGTAAACCGGAAAAAACTAGATGAAGAGAATGGTGCGTGGGACAAAAGATACAATGATATCATTCAGAAATCTGTCGATTTCTCCCGCATCGTTCGTTTTAAATCCAGAGCTTTGAACTTTTCTTTGGAAAGGGATGAGTTACACATGAGCGATGATTATGCTCGGTTCGAAGCTACAGACGGACAGAAAAAACTTACGGATTTAGAGATACTCAAGATATTGATTCTCGAACATGAAGAAAAGTATGTCAGAGAAATAGAATGGTCGTTGAAGCATCCAGTGGAGTTTCGAAGGCTTCAAAAAGAATCAGGTTATCTTATTGATCACACGTTCAAGGTAGAAAAACGGATGCGAGTGGAAAGGAATGACCCTGTAGCTGATGAACGGGACAGGGTAGAGATGTGTGAGAAGTTTGGATGGGACCCAACCGATCCCTTCTACAAACTACCCTATACCCAATAGATTTCTGAAACTTTTATTAGATCTTCTCGATTTTTTTATTTTGTTAGATATATAAATTTATCATGATACGAATTCTATTTTTTAATTGATTGTCTGAAAATTTTTCATTCTCGCATTGATTGTAAGAAGAATTGACGAAGCTTGTATCATGACTTGCGCTCAGAATGTGACGATATCATATAGAGGTTTGAGATCGTCATCCAGCTGCCAGCGCAGCGCTGCGCTGCTCTCCATTTTTCAGCGCCCAATCACGTGATGTACAAGACACTCAGATCTCGGCAGCCCCCCCCCTATCCGAGCCGAGAAACAATGCGTGGAGTTTGGAACATCAAAGCCACCAAATCATAAGTGGGTCATGTTCGATGAGCATATAGGATTTTTTCCAAGCTAGTCTGCAATCCACGATCCGAGACTTTCCTTCTTTTGATAGTGGAATTACAGCGGGCGAAATCTTGAACTAAATGTCGTACAGGACAAAAAAACAAGTTAGTCAGTTGTCAAAAAATACATTCAAGGTAATGATACTCACAATTTTTTTCCAAAAACGACTTCCAAGGCTAGAGCCGGCTTTCTTTTGCTTCTCCGGGTTCCCCAGAGATTATACTTACACTTGCGAGTATATTCTCCGAGCGATCTGGTTGGTTCCCCAGGTTCGGGCTTTCTTTGGCTTCTCCCGAATTACTCGAAGTACACATGACGGTAACTTTGAGCGATATTCCCTCAATCTAAGAGAACTTGTTGATTGAAAAAATAAAGAGTGATCACTTAGCTCCTCGTGAGAGGGTACCCAGCTAGCACGACGTGGACGTGTGATCGAGACTAGCCTCCCTGTACACCCAAAGGTTAGCATTTAATCATAAAAGGAATATAATCACCTTGTTATGTTTTGTCTACCCCCGGGCAGGTAGAGTGTCGCCGATGCCTGGTATCCTAGCTGCGAACTCTAGGTAATATTGGCTCCCATCGTGTTTATAGTGCGGCCGATAAGGCACTGTCGTCGTTGATGCCGGGTATCCTAGCTGCGAACTCTAGGTAATACTGGGCTCCCCATTATATCTATGTTTATAGTGCGGATTGGCGCACTGGCGTCGATGCCTGGTATCCTAGCTGCGTAATCTAGGTAATATTGGCGCCCATTGTCGAGGAAGTTTAGAGACCACACTCCGAAGAGATCGGTCTTGTCTCGAGTCGATTCGCCTGGTATCCCGGGTGACAAGGCCGGGTGATATTGGCCCCATATGCTTATAGTCGCACTCCGAAGAGGTCGGACTTGTCGATGTTGTGTTGAAGTAAAGTGTATGAAATAAATTGTATGAGAGGGGATTATGAGATGTGAGATGTGAAAAAAAGATAATTGAAAAAAGGAAAGTATGAACAAGTCGAGACTTTACTGAAGAAAAAGAAAAGAGAAATCTACAGGAGTAGAGACCACCTTATATACCTTTCGAGGCCTTAGTCTCGTTTGTTAGTTCACGAGAAAATCTTCAAACACGTTGCATCTATTTCAAAGATGATATGGCTTTTACGATTCTAGTTGTTTCGAGTCCGTAGATATGCGAGAATGTCGTGCCTATCATTCATATTTTTGACATCACGAGTACACAAAATCGATAGTACATGTCAGAAATAGCACATGGCATCACTAGTACATAAAATCGATAGTACGTGATCTTAGTCTATTCTCCATGCAAATCCGGGGTAAAATCAACTCGCTGTCCCCATCTGCCGCATCCAATTGGACAAGAAATTCATGTGATAAGAAAATTGATGTCAAACCCAAGTCTAACGGAAGAGAAATGTCATATACACTCGGTACAATTCGGAAAATGTTTATTCTCTTTGACCACATATCCCCATCAATCTCTACTAGATCTACTAGATCCACAGGTACAGGGTGTCTTGCTCTTCGGGAAACTCCCTTTTACCCGATGAGCTCGGCTCCAGAGCCGATTGTTAGTATCTTTACATGTACTAGATAGACGATCTGTTTTAGTCTCCGCTTATTGGGGTTTAGTGACATGATATAGGCACCGATTGTAAAGCATTTGACCTGAAAATTATTTTCATCAACAGATTCAGGAGTCTAACCGAAGAATTTTCTCATCAAGTGATCAACTAGTAGTTAAATGTCGGGAAAATACTCTCATTTCATGCACCAGCTATCCTTATCTGACCCGAAAGAGTCATCTCTCGGAATCGGGCTGTGTTGGATGTGAAACTTAGTTTTTTTCCTCCTGACTATGGAAGCTAAGGAAGATGCTAAGTCACCCCAGATTTTCGGAAGAACACTATGTCACACTCAAACGTAAACAAGTCAGAAATACCTAGAATTTTCCACTCATTTATACTCCACATAGTTCAAAATACTTACGAAGATTCTAGGTCTTCGTAAAAGGCAGTAGAAACGAAGATTCACTCCGCCCCTTTTCCCTTTACCGGTCAAGGTGACGATATTGTAACAGCAAATATCTTCCGGTATTCCCCCAAGAAATTTCTTCATGGCCCGAAATAGAGACAGAATCATTGTAGGAAGGTACATATTACGAATCACAAGCCACACATATTACTACAATTCAAACCAACCCGAATAAGAAAGCGAAAAAGGAAATCGAGATCCTCAATAGATCTCTCCATCTCTTATGTAATAAAATTGCTTACTTTAAGCTAGCCTTGAAAATAAGCACGCGTATTGAGTTAACACATAGGAGACATATGTTACTAGTCACAATATACATCCCTTCCGATATCCTCGCATTCCGCTTTCCGGTCTTCGCAAGCAATGACCGTATATCCGCGATAAAAGTTGAAGTTCGGAGTTGGAATCAGATTAGGGTATTCAATAGTCCAGTTTGTTGTCCAACAAGAGTTTGTATATCTATCTAAAATCAGTTAGAAAATCTGAAGATAGTTCAATAGTCGGATCAAATTCGATATCTCAGATGATTTGAGAAAAAATAGAGAATAAATTGGGTTGAGAATTCGGTAATTGTCATTGTTAGACTGCAAGCCGGACTATTGAATACTCTGTAATTAACCTAATAGCTTCGATCATCGTTTCTTCCGCATTCACACGAGAATAACCTCACTGATCTTCCAGCATTTTAAAGCTCTGCAAAATCTAGATTTTTCTGACCCCTTACCTTGCTCCCTTCCTTCTCCCCTACAAAAAACTACAAACCCAATATTTCCTCTACTGTCATGACACATCTCAGCTCATTAGAGTACCTAAAGACTAGCAAGTCACTTGACAAGCCCACCTTTGTACAACACCCACACTTATTCGACAATCACCCTTACCACCCCCCCCCCCTTCCCCCAAAAAGAAAATCTCATCAACTTTCCTTTCCCTTCCTTTCCTTTCATTTCATCTCATCACAAGTCATCACTCATCACTTCCACTTCCATTTCCTTCCACACCCACACCCACGCCTATACCCTATTCTTCCCCAACCATCAATATCCATCTTATCCCATTTACAACATAACATAACAAAACATCACAGAATAATTACAAATAACCAAAATAGAGTTTGCACCACGAAAATATTCCATCCCTCGGCAAGATCAACTCCGGCAGCCCCCTAGAATCTACCATTTCAATTCACACAATCCAATTGCAAATCTTTCTTTCATCGAAAGTAACCGCATGACACTGCACTGTTCATTACCTGTTACCTTGGGAAAGAAGCGAAGCGAAGCGAAGCGAGGGGGGCACGGGATAAGGTTATGCCTAGGTATGCTGAAAAGCGATATTTATAGCGAGGATATAAGAAAGGAGAAGAAGTCTGCAGAAGACAATGAATACAATTTTATTTTGACCGTCGGGCTTTGTTTAAAACATATGGTAATGCCGACACTAACGACACGTAACTTTACACAAGCATGCAAGATAGAGGGGACATGCTAAGTTGCTATTCGCTATTTAATGCTTATCGATTCTTGTACCATATCAACCATACCATATCGACCATACCATACCAGACCATTCATTCATATCATCATTCCCGTATCCATTTCCTTTCCCTTTCCCTTTCCAACCATGCAAATCATCTTCATCTCACGGCACTAGAATAGAGATCGGTCATTCTCTTGATACAGCGAACCAGATCGGAAAGAACGAGTGAACAATCTACTGTAAACTTATCCGTCCCGAACCCGTTTATCATCAAACACTGCAAACCACTCCAATCAACAAACCAATGATCAATCAAATAAATCCGAAAAAGATACAAAATCAGGTAACCAAATTCCCATACCAAGCCCCCAAAATAAAAAGAGAAGAAACTAAAATCAATCCAGTTTCATGAGACGTATCATGTCCATATGGGCGCCAAAAACATTGCTTTGTCCTAGCAAAATGTTATCCTTAACCATGATCCGACCTTGTGGTCATTTTAATGTGTTTGCAACGCCATTCCGTTCCAATATAGGTATCATCCCAAAGTGTATATCCGATCGATCATTCACGCCTTCTTGGCCATTGGAGAGGTCATAGTGTCGCAGCCTTGAGGAGCATAATTCTTCATGATTTTCTGGAAATCAGATTCATTAACGACGGCGCCTGTCTCCGAACATTTAGCTTTCTTTTGAAGATCCTTGCAAAGGCCATCAAGGTCAAATCCGCCTTCCTTGACCTTGGGACAATTCTGGAGACGATCCCTAAAACATCAATTAGCAAATATATCAACTATCATCGTAATGCAGCAATCTTACCAAATGGTGTTGCAAGTGAGCATCGTCGATCTATCTTCGCCTGGGACTACCTCATTGTCTTCATTCTGCTTCTCATCGATTTGTTGTACAAGATCCTTCTTTGTAGTTGCAGGACTTGGAACATTGAATGGTGTGTTGAAATCTGGCATCTCAAATGCATCTGCGAAGAAACCATCATCAAGAGCAAAAGGGTCGTTTGATAGAACATTATTTTGAGGTTCGCGGTAGTCACCGAAGAGTTGAGGGTCAAATTGATTGTTGTTTTGTTGAGCGAACCAATCAATACCGTTGACATCGAAAACGGCAGTTTCTACATTTCCTGAATTGATACCGGGTTCAGACATTGTACGTGGAATGGGATTGTTGGGATTGCCGCAAGCCATGTTGAGCTTTTCGCAGAAGGACAGCTCACCTGGTGCTGAGTTGCTGTTGCTAGATGTTTTCTCTTCCCCAATCGTTGTCAACGTATTGTCAATAGCTTTGTTGTATGGTGATTGCATGTTGGTAGGTTCGGGAGAGGTTCCACAAGATGAACTTGCTCCGTTGTTGGAGTGCGAGGAAGCCGACGGTGAGCTATATGACGTACTTTGACCATTGGTGGAAATGTTGGGTGAGCCGTTGCTTGACATTGAACCATTGGTTATATTTCCGAAAGCGTCGAACGGTGAACATTTAGATGCGTTATCCAAAATTTCAGGGGAGAATAAACCAGAGAATGAGGCCATGTCATCACCACCAATCTGAGCTGGAGTTTGAGTCAAACCAACATCAAAGGTGCTCGCATTGGATTGATTGCGGGAGCTGGTTTGACTCTTGTCAGTTGGACTGGGAGCATTCTGAGAAGAAATTGGGGAGTTGGATGGTCCGACTGATGAGCTTCCATTAGTGATAGGGGGTCCGGGAAGGCGGCCAAATCTTGGGAACTCGAATTGAAAATTGACGTCATTTGGATTAGCAGATGCAGATGGAAGCCCTTTGCCTGCGAAATAAGCTGGAGCGTTGCCATTTGAGCTTCGGTTGATACCACCAGTGAGAGACAATCTTTTCTTGTATTCCCTCAATTCCATTGACATTCGCTCGATTTGCGCTCTCAGAATACTATTCTCATGATTGGCAGATTCGGAAGCTTTCTCTAAATCCTCAACCTTTGTCTCAAGATCCTTTAGATGCTTTTCTTTTCGCTCACGGAATGCACGTTGGGCGGCACGATTTTGAGCTTTGCGTTTCTAATTGAGAAGTTAGAAGCCATTCAAAACAACGAAAACACCAAGAAGTACTCACTGAAGTGGGTTCTGATGTCAGAGGTTTTCTGCCGGGCTTCTTCGACGATTTATCATCGCCTTCTCTTCGTTTACCACCTCCTTCTTCATCGTCATCATCGTCTGGATGACTTCTCTTTTCATGATTCTCAGCATCACCATCCGACGAAGTTCCAGGTAAGTTTCCGATCATTTGTCCTTGCGAATTATTGGTAAAGTCGAAATTGAAACTATCATCACCTTCAAATTCGTAGTCGTAATCGATAAAAGGACTCTCTTCGAATCCGTTCAACGTACCCGAACCCGGAGCTTGGATCGGAGATTCGTTGAATGCGGATGTAGATGTGTTTGGAAGACCATTGTTCTGTGCAGTAATTGAATTATCCATATTGTTTGAAGACTTGTTTGAATTGAGAGCAGCAAAGAGTAGTTCCTCTTGTCGTGGAGATAAGGTAAAATCCGGATTTATTGGATTTGAATGGTTGGTACTGGCGGTAGCCATTGAAGCCTTGTTATGTATTGATTTGTGATTCTGACGTAGATAAGAAGAGAGCGATAGAATTCCTTTGTATAATGAGATGAGAGATTCTTTGAAGAAGAACTATCTCACATTCCCTAGATATCAACTAAAATAATGTGAATCAAATGGCGCCAATCGAAAGCAAAATTCGAGTTCGATGTAAGATACGGACGGATTGTGTGTTGTGGTTGAGTGGGATTGGGTTTCGAGGTGGTCGGAATAAAAGTTCGATTGACTCTTCTCAACCGTAAGCTTATGCAGGACAATCAATCCCACTTCGGCGGATAAAAGAGGGGGCCAGATGTCTTGGGGAAGTAACTTGGAGAGAAATGAGAGATGGGAGGCGAAAAGTGGAGGATGTATATGGTGTATGGTAGTGTTGGAGGTGATGGGTTTGATGGGTTTGATGGGTTACGATGGTTGTCTACCTTTTTGATTCTGGAAGCCTCGAATTCGTGGCCTCAATTGATATATGTATGGGTGGGATGAATGTATAGATGGATAGATGGATGGATGGATGGATGCCCAGGTGGAATAGATTGATTGATGTTACTCTGTACTCTCTCCAATATGTATGCGTATGATGTAAGGAAAGTCGCAATATCTTCCTCGGATTGGAAGAAGGAATAGGATTGGGGAATATGATTTACTCAGACTGCAGGAGAGTAATAAACTTTCTCCCCAGCTGATTTCACGAATTTTGGGCAGATGCACAGATTCATTACTCTCATTCCCCCCTCCTCGAATGATTCTTCAAGATTCCAGGGATTCTAGAGGGGCAGTGAATTTTTGAGTTTTTTGATTTCTCAGCAACAAAAATTGAAAAGTCCGCTAAATCCGTATGCGATCTAGTCCCCTTTTATGTGATGCTCGAGTTGTTCAAGAAGGGAAGTAAAAGTCTTTACACCAGTACATATGGGGCAACTCATGGAGTTAAGACGTAGGTACAGTGGACACGAAGGAGAAAGATTCTCTTCTTTTTGGAATACGAGCGAGTCTACAAAGTATCCTACGAATCAGATTAAGGTTTCTTGTCCATCTGCACAAGATTTGGCGCGGCGTATATGTATATAGATAGAAGGACGACCCAGGCTCAGGTAGGTATTAATCCAATACGACCGTTCGTTCATGCTCGATCGTTTATCGTGCAGCAATATACTGTGCGATGGTGTTGGTCTTGCGTGTTACCATTCATGACTGGACGAGGAGAGGAATTTCTATGGAAACATGGCTCATAGCTTTACCGTAGTAGTGAGGTGTTTGGTTCATCTTTTCTGCACCGAGTAAGGTCTCTACTATGTCTACTGTGTCTACTGTGTCCACTGGTCCGTCTACTGTACCTGGGTATGAGTCAACAGCATAAACAACGCAAGTGGTGAGATTAAATACTTTCATGCTGCGTTCGATATTGAACACTTACCCTGTGAACAAATCAATGGATGAGACGTTGAAGTTTCTATCCCAGCTTTGCATATCCACTACTCTTATCTAACACCTAACTTGTACCTTTTTTCGGGGGCTCCCTTGTTGCGGGCTTTCCACCTGGCTACCTAGGTGTAGTCTTGTCTTTAGCATATGTCCATCTGAGGAGCTACCGCTATTCATCTCAAACCTCCACCCATAGACCATCAAATACAAGAAATCAATGCAAGTACCAAGTTGCCGGATGTCACTACCGAGGCCAAGGGAAATGGTGTGTACCTAGGTAGGTATATCGCCTCCCAAAAAGGACCCCGAAATTCGGGTTTGACAATCATTCGCCGGATCGGAGGGGATCACTAATCGACCCTTTAACCTACCTATCATTCACAAATTGTCTCAACTTGTGAAACGATCTCTAGAATCTACATCCGTAGCTGCGTACCTAGGTACCTAACCAAAAGATTAGACAAATTCCAGGTTGCACATGACTGTGTGGCTAGTGTACCGTTTCAGCCACAGATCAGGTGAGGCTTGAAAGCAAGCGGGATATCGTTGTCGAATCATATGCGAGGTTCCGCTCTGCTTGCACGTCAATCACAACGTACTATTGCTCCACTCTATGGAGTACTATTCCATGCGTGAACAATTTGATAAACTCCCTATGAACCTTTGAATTTATACAGAATCATACCGCCTGTTTTCCTGTCAAGATGGATCTCGCATATGATCATATCCAAGAAGAAGCTCTCCAGCCCGATCAGAACAAGGAGAAATCAACAGAGCCTGCCCCAACGCTCAATGCCGATTTCCAAGAAGCATATAAAGCTATCTCTTCTAGTCCTTGGGGTGCGAAATTAGGTGGATTCTTTGGAAGTGTCGTCAAACAGGTAAGAGATGATCGTTGGCAAACATATGAGTATTTTGGCTGAGTATATCTGTTTGATCAATAGGGCGAGAATGTCTATAAAGAAGCGCAACAGGAATTCAATACTGTTAGTGAGGAAGCTACCAAGGGATTCACCGACCTAAGATCTTCGATTATTAGTCGCACACGAGGACTTACAATTACACAAGCTCAAGAGGATGAGAAAGCGGCAGCAGGAGGGTCTACAAGCAAAGATGGAGAGTCGACCTCCAAAGATCTTACGACAGATGAGGCATTAAAGGAATCGGAAGGCGTTTTAGCAAGGTTGAAGACCGAGGCTGCGAAGAGACTAGTAGAGATTCAAAAAGCGGAAGATGCTGCAGATGAAGCACTCCTAAAGTTTGGAACGAACATTCGAAACTTTTTGAAAGATGCTGTTAGCATTGCACCACCTACCTCGAATGCAGATGGACAAGCCAATGCCGTCCTGTTTGAAAGTAAGGATTCTCAAGGGAAAAGAGTTATCCATACCACGAGATTCGATGCCCAACTTCACGTTATTCATTCTACACTTGATAGCTTCACCACCGATCCAATCAGCGAGGAATTCCAGCCATGGGCTAAGACTTTCAGTGTTGACAAGAAGACGGATGATATCGCTAAGGACTTGGAAAAATATGAAGAATTGAGAAGCTCAATGGAAAAACTTGTACCAGACAAGGTCAAATATGAGGATTTCTTCAAGCGATACTATTTCCTTCGTCACAGTATTGAAACAGCCGAAGCTAAGAGGAGAGATTTACTTAAAGGTATAATTCCTCATATCATTCCATAGCGTACAAGAAACATGCATTAACGATAAAACAAATAGGCGCTGCAGCAACCGAACAAGAAGAAGACGTCAAATGGACATCCGACTCTGACGACGACTCAGAAGAGGAGGATTCCGATGACGACGAATCTGAAGATGAAGATGATAAAACTGCGAAGGTTAAGACAACTTCCGATAGACCAGCTTCTGCCGAATCCTCTACCACTTTACATCCCGCAACACAAGATAAGGAAAAGTCCACTGCTACATCTCCGACTCCTACTCTCAAACCGACTGAACCAAGAAAATCCAACGATGAAAAATCTCAAGCAGATAGCGATGGTAGTTATGATGTTGTGGGCGCGGCATCGGGAGCCCCTAGTCGGGCTCCTAACAGTCCAAAGGAAAAGGCTGTGGGTGCAGGAGCAAAGAAGGAAGAGAGCGACGATGACGACAGTGAGGAGGAGGACTGGGAATAGATGCTTCGAGTGTGTTAAGGGAATTGAACATATCTTGATGATGACACAGGCGTTGTGGATGATTTGACACGAGGAGTTTTGGGATTGGATTTCTCTTTTTTTGTTGTGTTCTTAGCGACCTCTTTCATTGAAAGATGCATTTCCGGTGCCTTTCTATGCTATTGCTATTGCTATTATTGTACTTACAGATATCCGCATTAGGTCGTCAGACTTGTAGGCAATAGATCATACTTCTTCATTGATTGCCAATTCTGATATGGCTTATCTTGTACTTGGACAGTGTGTATGTATCATCTGCATGCATATGAATCCTCGTTTATTTCTTTAATGGCATTTGACTCGATAGACTTGGATTCTTGTGGGCTTTTGTCGATGCTGGTTTTGATGTTGATTTTGATTATTGATTATTGATGCTGATGCTGGTGCTGATGCTGATGTATCAAATATTAAATATTAAACTACAGAGGGGCCGAGATGAAAGCGATGTGGATGCGGATGTAAATGGGGATGTAAATGCAAAGGAGATGAGTATCTGGGTATCTAGAGAGAGTGTGTGAGAGAGAGAGATGGATCTTGAGGCAAGGAGAGATTTAAGCGAGTTTGGAGATGAAGATGAGGATGGAGATGGAGATGTTGGAGGGTTGGGAGGAGGGAATATGGAGGGGAGATACATTGTGAGATTGTGGGGTTGCGAGGTTCTATTCAAAGTGAGAGGAACGGGTGATGAATGGGGGGTAGTTTTTGGTTTTCAGAGGAGGATGGATTTCACCAGATTCTCTTGCTCATATATTGGTAGCTGCATTTAGTATTCTTGATGCTAGTTCTACATAAGACCCTATCTAGGCAGCTGTAATCAAACGACTCAATAGATTCAGTAAGCTATCTTTCGTATCAAGAAACTTCGTTTTGCGTCTCCTCTGTGCTGAGATTTGAAGGTTTTTCTAGCCACCATCAGATTGAGAAAGCCTTTCACCAAATTGATGATGTTAGATTTGGATACAGCTCTCCATCTGCATCAAATGGATTTGCCTATTTGTTTGAATTGATGTGATCCCCAAAGGCTATCCCTCATCAATCCCGCGAATTCGTCTTCATTATAATCCGCCAGCTCCAGAATCCTCAAGAAAATGAGCATCTCAGAATGTTCCACTTTGTTTCGACTAGACTTTCTATTGTCCATTCAAGCCTCACCATGTCATGAACATCGTTGGAACACCAACACCTCCAACACCTCCAGCGCCTCCTCTCTTTGTTTCTTTTCGTTCTCTTGCCAATTTCATCTTCTCTTCTTAGTAACCATGGTAAACCCATCCTCATCCACCTGAGGCACAACTGGTTCCTTAACTTTCACCAATTGTGGCACCTCATCCATATCCACATCTCCATCTTCATCCTCATCCCCACTCGCTTCCGAATCCGTTTCTCCTTGGTCCTCTCCTTGCTGGAACTGCGCTAAACTGTCACTCTTCCCCCCCTTCGTCTCCCATGCCTTCTCCAACTTTCTGCACAAACTGCTTTCCTCCTCCCAAGCACCCCTCTTACATTCCTCTCTGCATTTTACAATACCGTTGGCAACTTCCATGGCGCTTCCATCGTCGACATTTACTTCGAATTCGTCAGACATGAATTGTAACAGGATTGTCTCAATCCAGTCTGCTTCTACATCCTTGTTTTCCTCCTCGGAGAGAAGATCGATGAGAGTACCGGCAATATATTCGCGTTTATCGGCGGACTCAGGACCTCCCCAGAGGGAGGTTACGGCGAGGGAGAGAGAGGGCCAAAGGAAGATGGAGAGGACGATGCTGCGTTGAAATGTTTTGAGACGGAGTTCTGGACAGTGGAGTTCAGTATTTTGTCATTAAAAGCATGTATATGCGAGGGGTAAATGAACGTGGAGTATGTAAGTGAGGAATGCGATCGAGTAGGAAGAAGGAGAAAAATAACATACCAGGAGAGTATACCCCATTTCCTCCATTCGATTGTGAAGAAGCCATGATGGTGTTTTCTTTCTTTTTCCTTTCTCTGTCTCTTAATCTGTATTCAATCTTCTTCTGCGATTCTTGTTTCACAGTTCTTTCTTGAACAATATATCCTCCAATTTCTTTTGCGACAAGAAATCCAAATACTATTATCGCGGGGTAATCTTCAATCGCAAAATTAACAATTTTTTATCCCCAGCATAATTTGTACTACGCTAAACCTTAAAATTTATGGATGCACCAAGGATCTGATCTCTCCGCCTGGACAACCATTCACAACGCTGGAAATAAATTATTCGTGTTCATCAGCTACAATGTACGAGTACGAAAATCCCCATGACAAGAAAGAGCCGAGGGCGCCGCCTATGACGTTAATCTACACAAGTATGTACCGTGTACATAAGAAGGAGCGTGCGACAGCGGCTGGCTATGCAATTTGGCCAAGAAGGTAATAAGATAAGGTAGGTTCACTTGGTGGTAGTTTTGTTCTCAATTTCATATTCATATCCTCTATTTGTACAAAGTATTATTCGCACATCAGTTATTGATTAATTGCCTCTCCTTTTTCGAATATATCTTACGCACTATTCGTTACTTTGTCGTGTTGTGTTGTGTTTGAGACGTGTAGAGTGAAAGAAAGGGGTCCACGTCCCAGGGAATAGAAAATATTGTTAACAAAGGCTTTATGTTTGTTGTTGTTGATGGGGAGATCTTGAAACTTCTTCTTGTTCTTTAATATATACATACACAGCTAAGTAGGACGCTCATTCGTTTGTGGAGGAAGATTCTGTGTGGTTGAGAGTGAGGAGTTGGAGATTTGATCTGCAATTTGATTTAAAGGGATCGAGGGTACGAGGACTCGCAAAAGAAACACCACTTGAATCGATTCGAGATTATATCATAAGCAACGACACCGAATCTCAAGCTCGCAAAGTCCAGCAACTATGGGACTTAGCACACTTTCAGTTGGGACGGCAGTTGCTCCTGTTGTATTCCAAACATTTGTTGCTCACGTAAGTTTCCCCTTCATGTACATTTATTTAACTCTCTAAGAAATCATTTCACAGTATCTCGGAGATCGATCACTCAAAAAGCAAAAACCTACTGCACATATCTCCTACGATGAAGGTCTTCACTTAATTCGCAAATTCCTGCTTTATGCATCTCAACATACAGTCGAAGATATTCAAGCCTTCACCTCGCAATGGGTACCTCACCCTCCTTACATTAGCGTGAGGGAAACAACCATTGCAGAGAAGCATATACATGAAGCAGAAAAGTATTTGTCGATTCAATTGGAGAAACAGGGAGGGATTGGGATCATTGGGGGACATCAATGGTGGAAATGGAGGCGACCAGGAAGTGAACTTAAGTCTGAAACGATCGAGATGAAGGCAGATCTTGACGAAAGGAATCAAAAGGGAGAAGATCCCAAGAGAGTCATGCTGTATGTCCATGGAGGGGCTTACTTTTTCGGAAGTACGGATGAACATAGATATCAGATGCAAAGACATGCCAGGAAGTTGAAGGCCGTGGTCGTAGCACCTAGATATCGTTTGGCACCTCAATTCCCATTTCCATGTGGTCTTAACGATTGCTTAGCAGTGTATCTCAGTCTTCTTGATGATTTGCAACCATCCAGTATTATATTTGCAGGGGATTCAGCGGGTGGTGGTATGGTGTTGAGTATGCTTGTCATTCTGCGTGACAATGGTTTACCTTTACCTGCAGGTGCTATCCTTATTTCACCATGGGTTGATTTGACTCATTCTTTCCCGAGCGTCGCGGCAGATAATCCTTTGGATTATATCCCACCGCATGGATTTCACCACCGACCATCTCCAGCCTGGCCACCGCCAAACGCAGATGATTTGGCGGAAATAAAAAGAGGGCTGTCTAACAGTGCTTCAAAGAGAGAACGCAAGGCTACAACATCTAAACAATCGGAAAAGGATGCAGTTCGGGGATTTACGTCTGATGCTGTCCCATCACTAGAGGCGCATAATAATGCTGCTGCTACTGAACCTTCATCTAACAAACATGAAGGGCCATTGGCAAGTTCAATTCCTAAACCTGGATATGATCTTTCTGTCATGATCGATGGAAAGCTAGTTGTGATAAAAGACCAAATTCAAATGTATACCACAAACCAGCTACTAGCCCATCCTCTGGTTTCTCCGGTTCTTCAAACTTCACTTGGTGGTCTTCCACCACTTCTCGTTCTCACAGGCGGTGGCGAGATGCTGCGGGACGAACAGATCTATGTTGCACACAAAGCTGCCAATCCAGTTCGATATGCACCCGGGGATGCGTTTTGTGATCCACAGTCTCGTCTAGAGGCATGGGACAAGTGGACACCAACGGATGTACAACTACAAGTTTGGGATGACTTGTGCCACGTTCCACCAACATTAAGTTTTACACGACCAGCTAAACATATGTATCGATCGATAGCACAGTTTGGAGCCTGGGCTTTAGCCAAAGCTCAGCAAACAGGGATTGAGATCCTAGATGATGATGACATTTCGGTTATCTCAAAGTCTTCAGACTCGGGCGAGGATGCTCAAAAGGTATCTTTCCTATACCAATTTTTTCACATTTGAGTTGGCTGAACTAATAAAACTAGGAAACACCTGAATCTACAGAGGGAATAGCCGGATCTATAGGAACAATAGGCAAGGCAGGCGATCCCCTCCCTCCTTTCATAGATCATATGATCCGTCAACGTGTCGACCGTCATGGCAACATATTCCCCCTTGACCCAGCCGATAGACTTCCCGCTTGTAACATGTCGCCCAATGATGTCGGTGTCGTTAAACCTGAGCCAGTCAAGAAATGGATGGCTGTAAAAACAAAATTCGATGCCAAATACGCTAAAGATAAGCGAAAGATACAAAAGAATAGGGCAAAGGAAATTGCAAAAGGATATGAACAATTCCTAGATCAACAACAAGTACCAGAAATGCCTCCTCCCAGTGCATTAGCCGGGCGTAGAATGGTTGGTGTTGAAATAGACAGGGAAAGTGGGGGCAAGCAAAAGAAGAGTTGGGGATTATCAAAATGGAGTGGATGGGGTAGTAAACATGATGAACTTACCATAGACCGCGGAATTGAAGCAGAAAAAGCGGGTAAAAATGTTGAGACTACGACTGCGAGTGCAGAACACGGGGCTGGGGCCAGGGACATACACAGTAGAGAGACGAATGATGCTGTTCCTCATGCGGCCGGTGAGACTCATCGAGAGCTCATCTTAGGAGCTCATGAGGTAGTTTCGCCTGTCCAAACGCCGACAAAGACTAGAGCGGGGTTTACTGAGATGAAGGTGGAGAGGAGTGGGATCGCTGATGTACCGGATGAGAAAGCTGATGTGAAAAGAATATCGGGCGGAGAAATTGATGGGGATTTTTTGACCACCTATTCTGATATGCAACAATCAATGAGGACTGTCGATGATCCTCTTTTCCCTAAGAAGAAAATTGCTAGTACCCAGGTTGAAGAACCAATTCCAAACTTAACCTTGGCGTCAAGAGCTCCTGCGGAAGAAGTCATTGAAGATGGAGGAAAAGCAGATGTAACAGGAGTAACAATAAGCCAGCCGATTATCGGAGTCGAGAATGAAGAGGGAGTGGTGAGATACACTAGTAATGGGGAGGAAATGAGGAGACCTACGGCACAAGGTATAGCTTTCCCCTTTTCCATGCGCATGGGTGGGGAAGGGGTAGATGGGGTTATGAAAGATGGTGTTCGGGAGAGAAATGCGCGTAATGGTAAAATGGGGAGAGACGCTAATGCCAGTACAGAATCACTGGTTGGTAGTGTCAGGAGCGAGGTTCCAGAAGGATATGAGCGGAAGTACGATGACGAAGTGGAGGATTATGTAACAGTGAAGATTGCAGAGGATGAAGGAAAGGGGAAGGAGAACAAGTATTTAAGTGCGGGGGAGAATGGTATTGGGCCCGAAAGTTCCCCTTCGTATGGTTTTGCGGATGGAGTAAGCGAAATTGAAGGACAAGGGGGATTGGGCATACTAGATACACCTCAGAGGGAAGGTAAGGGCAAAGAAATTCCAGAGAAGCTGAGGACAACGATGAACCTGGATGGACGGGATGATGTCAATCATGTGAGTCCAAGTCTTTCGGCTGTAGGGGCTCATTCGCGTCCGGGACCAGAGAGATTTTACTCGGCGCGGGAAACTTCAGAGGAGGCTAAGAACACTAAGGAGACCTAGAAGGGAGTCTTTCAGATGTTTTTTAGAAGGGTTAAATGACATTTAATGTCTGGAATGGATAGAATGGGTCACTGGAGTTTTATTGCATTAACATCAGCACCATTGTGCAGAAGTCAATAGACTGAGAGTACTTGTATTAATATGATAGCGTATACCAAAAAGCGATAGAGACGACTAGCAAATAACGAATAGATTCATGTTATAATTCTTTGACTTTTTGGTTTCTGCATTTACTTTAGGGTGTGCATGATATCAGAAAACTCATTCGGAATTCGAGACTGTGATCGGTGTGTCAAGAGAAATCTTGAAAGGGATGTATTGGGCGGCTTCAAAAGTTCCAAAGCTGATAGTGAATATACGACTGTTCTATATACAACGAACCCTTATTATTGATGTCACGCCATATCACCCCTCTATGAATTGTACCGAACAGTAGTGATACATCGTCGAGTCGCACGGAGTGTCGTAATTCGCCGGTCTATGAATACTCAGATTCACGTTACTTTCTGATTGGTCAATGAAGTCGCGGTTCCGATCCCCGATGTAAAGCGTGAGTTTGACGAAAACAAAAACAACCTTTGGATTGAACTTCCACTTTGGAGACCGATATGTATCGGTGACAATCAAGGGAGCCACGTTTGTATGCCTTTTATTATGGATAAATTGATGTTCCTTGAATCGTTGGAATTTGCATCTCGAACTTCATTTTTGTCTAGGCATTTATCTTGGCACACCAACCTAATGTGGCAGGTCCCAACGTTATCGTGCTCTCAGCTTCCTGTACACCGGGCTTGGTACGCCCAACTTCGACTTACAGATATGCTGCCATTTTCTTTCACTCGTGATTAATTGCTGGAGGTTCCAGCTTCCTGAATGCCGGGCTTGGTATCGCGGCATTTGGATTGCAGATACTCAAATGGTTTTTGTTATCTGAAGCTGATGTGTCACTCATTCTCAACCTTCCTAAATGTTGTCTCTCATTTTAAGAATAGAATCTTCAGGTACTAGATTAGCTTCTCGAAAGAGAAGGTAGAGATCTATATATGTACAGCCAAGGTGGCCAAGCTTGCCAAGTGGTTCACAATCTTGAAGAACTCCTTTCACATACCTATTCGCGATCGAGGGGAAGCTACAAGGCAGAGTTGAGGGGAAACAGTGAATGGGGACGCCACAATATTGATACATATATATACTTGAGCATCGTGGTCTACGTGAAGTTTTTAGATCAGTTTCTTACTCCTCAACTGCCACCATGAAGCTCACATCATTGTATTGCATCGCGGCTCTCGCTCCCATTTTTTCTCAGGGATGTCTGCTCCCAGAAGAAAGGGAAGGAAAGCCAAGAGTCGTTCGTCGTCAAACTAGTAACGGCGTACCAATCGGGACTGGTGATCGCTACAGCGCTGGTACTATTGCACCACGAGGTGTAGGATCTCAAACCACCACTTTCACCACACTCTTGAACGTCAACGAGATCACAAGTGGACTCAAAGCTCTTGCGAGTGTATACGGCATCACCACTTTCACCACCCCATACAAAACATATAATGGTGCTTCCATCACTGGCGCTAAAGTTGGAGGTAATGGAACATGTAATGATGCCATTCGCGTGTATTTGAATGGAGCCATCCACGCAAGAGAGCGAGGTTCTTCTGATGGCCTGTTGTTCTTTATTAGTGATCTCTTGTATGCAAACAAGAATGGTCTCGGTTTGAAATTCGGTTCAAAGTCTTACACCAATGCTCAGGTGAAGACTGCCTTGTCGACAGGAATTGTGTTTATTCCGCTTAGTAATCCTGATGGTGTTGCTTATGATCAGTCCACCAACAGCTGTTGGCGTAAGAACCGAAACCCAGCATCGGGAACTGGTGCTTCTGCTGGTGTGGACTTAAACCGCAACTTTGACTTTGTGTGGGACTTGACCAAGTGGGCTCCAAGCGTCCGAAGTGAAGTCGCATCTTCCAGTCCTTCTTCTGAAGTATTCCATGGTATGTATTTTTATTTCTCCGTTCCTGGGTAAATTGACTCTAACCAATTTCACTCTACAGGTACCGCCGCCTTCTCAGAACCAGAAACCAAAAGTATCAAATGGGTAATGGACACCTACTCCAAAGTTCGCTGGTTCATCGATCTTCACTCTTACACCGGTGACGTTCTCTACTCCTGGGGAAGTGACACAAACCAAGCCTCCTATCCTACCATGAACTTCCTCAACACGGCCTACAACTCAGTCCGTGGAATCGTGTCCGATACTCCTGGTTCTGGTTCCGGCTACGGTGAATACTCACCCACAGCCGAAGCTACCGCCAACAAAGCCGCTGCTGCAAAGATCGGTGCAGGTATGAGTGCCGCTGCTGGACGCACATACTCTGTTATCCCAGCTGCGGCATTATATCCAACCAGCGGCGCTAGTGATGATTATTCTTACTCTAGACATTTTGCCGATACGACCAAGAATCTTATCCATGGTTATACCATTGAATTTGGATTTGGAAACTCGGCATCTAGTTGCCCATTCTACCCCACCCAAGCTCAACATAACCTCAATTTGCAAGAAATTGGAGCTGGATACATGGAGTTTCTACTTGCTGCTGTCAGCTTGGGATTGGGTGATGCTACAACTTGTTAAGGGGGTGTTTAATGGAAACATACTTGAAGATGGAGATCAGGATCCAGGTCTTATGTTTCGGTCTCTTTGGTTGTGTATTCGGAAACGAAATGGCTGTAGTCAGGTGATACATAAAATAGTTAGCTTGGTTAATGAGTCAGTTTCAAATCCATTCAAGCGCTTGTTCACTGCTCGTTGTTTCTCGTAGTCCAATTTTATCGATGTGATGCTTGGGTTTTCTGAAGATTCCCCGGAGAATTCCCTACTCGAAGGTAAAAGTAATATGATTTCTGGGAAGTGAGCTAGCTCATTTGGTAACATGCTTCAGTTGACAATAGCCATTTTGTCTTCAAGATGATGCTATATAAAAAAACAGAATTTACTCAAAGAATACATTTCGGTCACTATGACGGCACACAGTCTCAGTTCGGAGAACCCATAATGCCCGATGACTTGCGCAGTGGAGTAAGATCGCCCCAGCTGTTAGCTTCCCACTACCAGGGCTTCCAATAGGACACATTGAAGTTTATTCTTGAGTGACGTTCCATTCACAGATCTGTTCATCTCTCTCGATCGATATCATTCCTAACGGAATGATATATTCGTGGGTTTGTATGAAGTGATAAGCGAGAGGCCGGCAGTGCTAGATAGGAGCTAGAAAACACCAAACATAGCTACTTGATGCAGTAAATCTATCACGTGTATTTCGAATCATTGGTTCAAAGCCAATTCAATGAGACTCATAACCCAATTTAGAGAATCTGGGGTAGATGAGGTGAAGCTACCCAAGTTTAAAGGAGGTTTGGCTGCAAAGCTAGATGGCCTGGATCGACTAACTCGAGGGACTTAGAGTTTAACTTTGGAACTGAAGACTAAAGGCCGCACAATTTATTTTTTTGGATGAATATTTCGTCATGATCGATATATAAATTTTGTCTCGAATTTCTTTTCATCCTCAACTTGTCATTCTTTCCGTACAATAAATTTGGACATCGTATACTTGCAATTCGCGCAGATGAATACACGATATAATACTATAATTTTTAATCTTTAATAACTATACAAACATTTGACGTCTTTCAATCTTCAAGATCAATACACACATTCGAATACCTTCGGCTTTATACAAACATTTACACACTACCAACCATCAACGTCGCCGCAAACATCCAGCTACTCGCAATACCTAGCATCGACACAAATAATTCCCATTTCACAATTTACAATATTGGCACAGGCATAGCACAGCATCGTCATCAATGTCTAACATCACCACCGAGATCGAACACCTCTCAATTTCCAGCCTTGGCATAAACAATCATCCACTGGGAAGCGTAATCAGCTCGGGCACGATAGCCCAACAATCTGAACCTGACAATGTTGAATCGACTACTATAACAGCAGCTGCCTCCATTCGAAAATGGCGCTGGCCAAAGCCATCTGAGAGAAGAAAGAAAGCAGTAACACTAGATACCAATACCAACACCCTCCCACCAGCTCAAACCCCTAGTGATTGGATCTGGGAAAACGAAATACCCCAGGCACCCTCTTGGAGCACTACTGCCTCATCCTCATCCTCATCTTCACAATCACAATTACAACTCCTCACTGCCCCAGATCGTTCATCACCCATCCTATCCCTCACCGAGGGTTTCGAAAAATACTGGGAAGACATCTCCGACGAAGAAATGACCGCGTACATCCCCTCCAACATCATCGCGATCTGGGAGGAGGTAATCGCACGAAAACGTATGCATGCGAAAGCAGCGGGCGCAGAATATGAGAGAGAGTTGGAAGAAGAGCTTGAGGAGAGATATGGTGCGATGTTGAGGTATAAGGAGGAGGAGGAGAATGAAGCGTGGTCTGTGGAGGCATTGTTGGACATAGTGGAGGAGTGTGATTTGTTTGGGTGGGTGAGGGAGATGGGGAGGAGGGCATTTTGGGAGGGGAATGGGGTGGTGAGAGATGGGTGGTGACAGATGGGGGTAGGAAAAGGTGGGGGAGTTATATATCACATGTTTTAGCGATGAGGGATGGTTCATCCTCACATCACAACTTAGCGCAGCTATCTCCTATATCACGAGATACCAAAAGTCTATATAAATTGCATAATCATCAAAGACTCAGAATAAATCCTAGATTAGCCCATGCATCGTACCCTCCAAAGTCCGTAATATTCTTTCAAGTTTCGCGCTCCCCTCCTACCCCCCGATCCCCAACTGCTAACTACACACACATTGTATGTCGACCAACTACCAAATAATCTCATTATTCACACAAGCCCATCTCGGCCCCCACTCAACATGTGAAATTCAAATCTAATCCTTTCATCCTCTATCCCCTTCCTATCCACGATTCCATCTCCAATACTGCAAATCCAAATTCCCGAATCCTCAAATTAGGTTCCTCAAGGATTTCAGATCCGAACACTCACTCAGTTTCTTCCTCATGTATCCTATTCTCACAACCCAGAAACCCCAAATTCCGCTCAAAGACAAATCCCTTCATCATGCATACTATTCTACTATCCAATAAGCTTTACTCTGGGTTTCAAATTCAGATGCAGATTTCCTCTGCTTAATAGCCTAAAAAATTTCACAGCGTTACCACTCTTCCACTTCCTCTCATCTTATTTCCCCCATTAAGAGGTAGAGATATTCCATAGCAAATACTGTAGCGAAGAAAATCGATGTGTTCATCTCACAAATTCCAACGCAATAGGGATATCTTTAGATAAACATATAATAGCAAGAACCTGAAGTGGATGATGTAATTCTCTATTCTCTATTTCTATTCTTCATTCCAAATTTTCATGTTGATATGAATATTTGACTAATGTAATGAACTTCTTTTTTCGTTCATGAATTAAAGATAATTGTGTATGTACATAGCTAATTCCATGCCTAAGTTCTCGCATGCAAAAGTGTATTAAAATGCAACGAAACGAAAAGTGCCAGATTATTTTGCAGCGTTAGTCTTCTCCTGTGGTCTCCCCCTTCCCCGTCTTCCACTTCCACTTCCACCGCCTCCACCCTTTACGGGTTCTTCTCCACTCACACCCTTCACAGGTTCACCGCCACTTCCACCACCGCCACCACCTCTCCCCCTACCTCCTCTACCTCTCGCCCCACCCTTTCCTCTCCCGCTACCACTCTTCGAACCACCTCGCCCAGCTCCACTGCTAAAAGCCTTCATCCTCTGTGCTTCTTCTTCAATTGCTCTCTTACTTTCCTGATCCCACCACTCTTGAAATTTCTGCTCCTCTTGAATTTCCTGAAGACTTCTCTTTGCAACTGCTTCTTTGATCACTTCTTGTTCTCTCTGTTGCATTCCAATGATATCGGCCATTGATAGTTGCAGAGAGGGCTCTGCCTTGGATGCTGGCGCTTTATATGACTTAGAATGAGGAATGAGTGGAGTAGATTTAGATGATGGTATTGGTTGTTTTGATGAACCAGGTAACGGCTTTTGTGCTTTTGTGATGCTGCTGCTATCATTCCTTTTCTGTCCAGAGAATCTAGTATCTGGAGATGCAACTCGGCGTGCAGTCGAGGGAGTATTGGCTGGTGAGATCGCTGGTGAAATCATTGGCAGTGGTGCTAGAGACACTGGTGAAGATTTATTCTCCTTATCAAGGATATCCTTAAGATTTGTTCTCGAACCGACACCCGCAACTTGCCAAGGAGACGATGCCTTTTCTTTACCTTTACTCACGGGAGTCTGTACAGCTTGTTGAAACGCTGCCTGTTGTTTCTTGCGCTCCTTCTGCGAGAGTCTTGGGGTTGCCGACTTAGCAGTTGCTTCTTCATCCTTGGCCTTTTGGGCAGAGAGGCTCAAGGATAGATTAGAAGTACGACTTGTTGATGCCTGGGCCATGATCTCTTTCATATCAAGCTTTAGTGAAAGATTGGGGGAAGACCATGTTTTAGTTGCTGATTGAGGTGTGTCAGGGGTGTATTTAATTCCCAAACCAGCAGAACTTGGTAGGTCCGTAGGAGACCCTGACTCTACAATCCTGGGAGTTGAAATGCTTGTAGGAAACCTTGGAGTGGCTGGACCACCTGGAGAAGCAGAAGTCAAATCGGTAGCCAAGTTCAAGTCAGGTGGACTTCCAGGGAGTTCATCGTCGTCCATATCGAACATAAGGTCGGCCACCACATCCTTGGGACGTATACTTGGACTGAATGGTTCGTTCTTCGCCACCCTGGATCTTCTCCTGGCTTTCTCATTACTGGGAGAGGACAAATTATCATCAATACTTCCCATACGCATCTTAAAGGACGGAGATAATCGGCTATCCTCATCTTTAAGATGAGCACGAAACATCATATCTCCAAGCCTGCGACGCCTTTCCTCATCTATATCCTCTGCTAATTCCGGATACTTCTCGTGCAAGTCTAGATCAGCTCGGCCACTTTTTGCAAAAGGCAGACAATGTAATTGATTATCGCGTACGACTTCATCCAATTCGAGAACAAGCTCCTCGTCAAGATCGTCAAGTAGGCTATTTAAAGTTAGTAATGTACATAACCAGATACTAAGGTATTCCAGCTCATCAAAATTCCGAGAATGACTTACTGGTTCTCAAGCATTGATTCCAGCTGCAAACACATGTACTCAAGGCCAGCATGTTTAAGCTCGATGATCGAGCAAGGTGCTATAGCATTGACAATATTGCACACATTGCGGGTAGTGACTTTGACGATGTTAGTATTACTTGTAAAAGAGTCTGTGAGGCGTGAGATGCGGAAACATACCGAACCGGCCCAAAACGTGCTGACAAATTTGAGATAATCTATCGATCATCAACTCGTTTGCGACACTCATGACATCCAAGATAAGTTCCGAAAATTGATCGATGTCTGTGGAGACTACGTGGTCAAAAAGCTGAGGCCCTATATCAACATATAGATAGCGTAATACGACCTCGAAGGTTTCTGGTGCGATATGTTTCAAATCAATCCTGATCGGGCCTGTATTTTCCACGCGTCTACCAGCAAGCCACTGACCCCCAGACCGACCATTGAATAGACCATCAAAGAAAGGACATCGTTGGCACGCAAGCGCACTGTGAATAGGAATTTCCCCTCCATCCAACTCAACAAGAGCATCACAACCGTCAAAGAATTTCTCGCCTTTGATTGCATTGTCCATATCAGTGGTTATTGAATCTGAGGGCCGTCTGTGAAGCCCAGGTCCATTAAAGTATTCCATATTCAGATAGGAACCAAGTTCCATAAGTTGACCCCTAACCTTTCTATACCTGAAAGCCAAGTGTGGGTAGTAATTTGCAAAGTTCCAAACATCAGCAACTTCATCCTGGTAAAGAAAGATAACAACATTAACGAGAGTGATAAAATCCAGGCCGCTGAAAGTGATTCTTATCCTACCACTTGTACCTTTTTGAATGTTGAGAATATCGGGTTCTGATTTGGAACGATCGGGGAGCGAAGCGGTTCCACTGTAACGGAACTCGGCTAGAAGTGATCTTAGGACAGAAGATCTACCTGCAACTAAGAAGCTATGGACAGGTATTGCGACGTCAGATGTGCTGGTACACAACTCAATATCATAGCCACTATCAAAATTCTGACCCATGAACAAGCGTTCGACGTCCCCCTCAAGGTCCGGAGACGTAATGACTGCCGCCAGAACAGACCCACATTCAGATGCTAGATTTTCGAAGCGATCCTTCCATTTTGCATGCTGTTCTGCTGGGTACTCTGAAGCCACTAGATCTTTTATGCTTAATAATGGTTCAAGATCCTCCAACAATTTCTCGTCTTCGATTGTCACTTGAGTCCTAGTCACGTCACAGTCTTTGCGGATCGCCGCAAATACACCAAAAGGATTACTTCTGACAGCAACTACTTTGGTAAGTCCAGGGACCCGCTGAAACTTGAAGTCCTTGCGATCATAATCACTATTCCCAGTGAAAGAATCCTTATTCTTAGCTCTTTTAACACGTCTCCACACGGCACCAGCCTGAGTGCAAACTATCACGGATCCATTTTCGGCAACACCAACAGATTTTATTCCATCCCAGTTACCCTTGCGGAGTGACCAAACTCGCTGCGGTTGTGATAAAGCTTCCTTGATTTTTGAGGGGTTGGTCGTCGAAGCTGCCGCAACCTTCGTATCAACCTTCCTTACATTCAAAGTGTATAAGTCTCCTCTACCAGAAATGGCCGCAATTGTGTCCCCACCAGACTCAATGTTAATGATATTGTTCGACTCGTTGTCATATCGGGTTGTGAATGATGTGCTTTGAAGATAGTGGTTTGTGAAACTTTCATGTAACGGGAATTTGACCATGTTATAGCCATAATTCGTGAAAACACAGACTGTATGGTTTTCCAGAAGGCATATAGTTGCACTGTTGATAGCTGAGACTTTAACGATCGATGACTTGAATAGCGATGCCGCAACTCTACGGGGCACTGGTTGAGCCTCCAAGGATCGGGAATCAGAATCCATGAGGCCTAATTGCCCTTCGTTCTTCCCCCAACAGAACAGTGAGCTAGATGTATGAGCCACTGAATGAATAGCAGATGCAGCTATACCAACAATGGTTTCTCTTTTCAGAGGTCCAAAAATCTGGCGCGGAGTTGTGCAAAAGGGTTCTTCATCCTTTAGTGCAGGGCGAGGTAGATTATAGCCTAACTGGCCCCAAGTGTTTGTGCCCCAACTGAAAATCTCTCCTTCAGATGATACAGCAAGGGTATGGTTCTGACCGAGAGCAACGGTCAAGACTTTCTTCCCTGCTAAGCCACCCTGGTTCACTGGCACATAATTAAAGCGAGTGGTTTCATCACCCATCCCTAGTCTACCTCCAGGACCAAAGCCACACATGTAAAGGTTTGATTCTGGATCTGTAGTCAAGACAGCACTACTCAACTTGGAAAGAACAACATCTTGTATAATGATAGGCCTGTTTTGGATCATGGAGGGAAGCTCCGATACCGTGGTAGGAAAGTTTTCGTGGCCCGCGGCAGGATTGTCATGAAGGACAGAGTCTAGGTGGTTTTCATAAAATTGAAAGAGTAATCGTTCAGGACGCTTCAGTGTTATTCTTTCAGGATACTGACGATCATCCTGATCACCAAACCCCAATGAAAAGTTTTTGTTGCTACCAAAAGCAAAAAGCTCATCCCCATCAATACTTTCGGGTTCTGACACATCATTCTTGAGCAACTCAGAATCACCATCATTAGAGTCATCGTCTCTTTCATGGCGACGCAATCTTTGCTCTCTAATGTATTCCCGGATCGACCGTGGTGCGATGGTCGCATTATAGACATCAAACGGGGTGTTTCCCTCCCGATCCTTGATCTTGATAACTGACGAGTCCGGCTTGGCTCCTGTGTTTCCAGTAGCGCGGTCCTTTGAGTCCCTTTCGATGATCGCCCGAGCAATCGTAACGTTACCAAAATACAAAGCCCTATGCAATGCTGTCCATCCACTTTCTGTGTCTTGTATATAGAGGTCGATAGAAGGATGGTCGATAAGGGCGGTGGCGAACTCTATTGCATTCACAGCTGTCGAAGACGCAGCTCGGTGCAGAACTGTCAACCCAGCATGATCTCTACTATTTAAGTCCGCTCGACTGATCGCATTTCCCTGCCCTTTTGCCGCATTTATGTTTCCAGCAGGACCAAAAGCCTTGCGACTCTTGCCGAAAGTCTTGGGTGATGTTCCCAACCCGCCCGAACTTCCTATTTTATTCCCAAAGCTACTGGAAAATGCCGATCCTCCACCATGTCCCTTCAATGTATGGGATGGATTGGCGACGTTTGCCAATATGCGTCGAAATTTATCGACGTCATCTTCGAGATAATATTTCCAGAGAAGATTGCTCATGTGTGGATAAGGGTGGCAAGAAGGATATCTTCCGATTACTTCAATGAACACCTAGCTGTGACCTCGGAGGGACACGGCGTCTTTAAAGGTGTTATGAAGTGGAGGAAGACTCCTGATAATATAGAAGAGAAATAAAGTCTGGTCTTGATTTGCCAGACGTCTTAATCGATAGTCCAAGGTGATTTGGGCAATTGTGAAGCGGGGGTGCTTATGCGATTGATGGAAAGTCGTGTTACGAGCTTCGATACCTGTAAGTTTGAATATTTTGGTCGATTTTATGTATTCGATTGAATTTGGATGGAAGTATGTAATCTTACTGTTAATGCAAGTTGGAATAGTTGTGAATTAATTGAGTCAGTATCGATATAGCTATTGGAAATGTATCGCACAATGTGAAGGCCGCTGATATTGTGCGACGCGATAAAGGCCCTGACCAATCGGAATCGCGACTTTAACAGCATGCTTACAGAGTATCTTTAACGTGGGGCAAGTATTTGACGAGACCCATCATTAGCTATTACCTACCGTCATAACTTCTTACCTAGATACGTAATATAAATTTGAATATTGGTAGCTTTCAATTTTCAAGAATTATAAAAAGAAATTTCTAAAGCTTGAGAGGAAAGTTAATATACTGGCATGAAGCTTTCTTTATGTATTCGTGCTTTAACTCCAAAAGCCATTTTCTGAAGCGGTGAAGGAAACGGACCCACATGTTCATGCAATTCTCAAAGCATGCTCGACATTTTCTATCATAATCATAAGTCGAATTTCAAAAGAAGCTAGAAGGACGTTCTATCATTGGTGAATATGCTAATCGAAACTCCAGGTTATAAAGCACGTAATTTTGTGCTAAAATATTACAGTCTTGAGATTCCGATTTCTACAATGAACTTTATATGATGACTGTAACATTCAGGGCAGGTCTTCAAATGTATCTGAACTTTCACTCGAATTCAAACTTTGTGTGTGTCTTCAGCTGGCCCTTTTTAACATAGCTACAAGCGAAACTTTTGGCTGATGATACCATCCCAGTTTTCCCTTAATGGGCTCATCATCGCCAGCGGAATATTATTTTCATCTTAATTGAATATCAAGTATGAGCAAACATCATCCATGACCTCCGACTTCTCTGTCTAGCATTGCAGCAATGGTTGGATGAATCCGGTCCTGTGATTAAATTCCTCGATTCTCTCGTTCCTGATGGCCTGGTGATGGCCTCGGCTTCGACGACTCCCAACTCCCGTGAACAGAAATTTCAAACGTGTCGGATACTGTTTGAAGTGCAACATGTCTTTCCATCTCAAGTCTTCAGTTCGTTTTCAAATGTCTCATCCCCCGCCTCTGTCCAGTCCTCCTCTCCTCTTCTTGCACCCCAAAATCCTCTTCCATAACTGACCAAAATCTCCTCTCCCTTCTTAATTCCCTTCCACTTTCCCACACCTTTGCCCTTCCCTCCACCAGCTTTCTCCCCTAGTACCCAAACTCCCATACCTCTCTCTCCCCTCCCACTATCCCAAATCTCTTTAAACTCAGCATTTACTCTTGCCCTCTCCCCACCAATAGTCACTCCCCTGAAATCATTAATGAACCTCGCTTCATTCCCCTTTCCTTGTGCATCAACCCCAATACCTCCCTCTCGATCCAAACTCAAATCATAATCACTCTTCTCATGCCATTCTACCAGCTTCTTGATCTTTTCATCCGTCAAAGAACTCGGTGCATGCACTTCACCGATGTACTGCAAAATGAAAGTTCCAGGTTTCAAATCTTTCGTAGCGAATAATCCACACTGGCCATTGGCGGGATGAGAGGGATCATTGATGGGCGTAATTTTGACGAGGGATGAGGGGCCTTTAGTGTGAGAAGTGGGAATTGGAAGCGAGTCTGCGGTCGGCGTGCGGAGAATTTTCAGATGTGAAGGGGTCATTGTTGTGCAGTATGTGGGGGCTGTCAGATATGGGACCTGAGCGGGCCAATTTTTGGGTAGAGGTTGAGAGGGTGCCATTTTCTTTAAGAAGAATTTGTGTGAAGGTTTGAGGTCCAATTTCTTGAAAAACTTCTCAAGGTACTTCGGTCAGATGCAAAAGTGCAGCTATAGACACCTCAGCTTTCTTGATCCTAGAACTCCGTGAACAAATATCTGTATATCAAGCAAACTTATCCCCAAATCATTTCTCTGGATCTCTTCCTCTTCACCTCGAATCGCTTGCCCAAACCAAAAATCTTCCATCCTCGAGCGCCAAGCCTTGGCGTCCGTTAGCGCCTGCCCCCACAGAACCCTAGCAACAATGACGAGCATGGTGACCAACCCTGTGTGGATCATTCTTTCCTGATCATACAATATCGACTTTTTATGTCGATACTTGGACTTAGCCATTCACTTTCTTGTTTATGGAAGATGGGGTTTGGAAATGCCATGTTTTACTTGATAGACGGCAAGATGCTCCTGATTGTGGCAGGCGAGACAGGATGGACAAATGGCGTGGCAAGGAATGTGGAAAATGGATGTCAACGGTTGACGGTGGTAGGGCTGTAAACAGGTTTTTGATATGACGCAGATGCTTGCAATAAATAGGAACAGTTGCTCCTTGCGATGATTTTGTCTGGTTGTTTGCTCACGACAATGAGGTCATCTTCGATAAGTGACGCCACAAAGGTGAAAGCGATGGATGCTTGATTGAAGAGGTAGTAGGTATAAATTGATAGGTTTCACCGCCACATCTACTCAATTCTAGTTCTAGTTCGTGATATATTTAATCTATCTACAATTCAGCTCTATCGCAGTTCAATCATAAAAGAAATCAAATAGAACGATACGATCTAGCCCAGTCCAACTCGAATCAACAGCAAATATCAAAGGAACCATGCCTTCCCTCGTTGATTCCATCACAAACCTCGTCTCCTCCATCTTCAACACTATCATCGCAACCTTCAGCTCCATCATCGCCTTCCTCCAATCAATCCTCAGCACGATCCTCGGCCTCATCAATGCATTTTTCGCTGCAATCGATTCTGCTCTCGCGGGCATTGCGCAGACGTTTGAGGGATTGGTGAAGTTTCTCTTGAGTACGTATACATTTCTTCTTTCATATGATAGAATAGGAAATGGAAAGACTTTTGGAAGAACAAAAGGTGGAATCATCAGAACACAAGCTAAATCTTTTCTTCAAATAGGCAATATAGTTATTATCGCCGCTCTCGGTGCTACCTTCGTCGCATACACCGTCTATCAACGCAGTCAAGGAAGACCTGTTACTGCGGCACCCGGTAGCGCCAAGAAGACTTCTTGAACCTGTCTTCTCTCGAATATCGGAGTCCAAACGGGTAATCGTGGGATACGGAACGAAGAAAATCAGTGCTAGGAGATTTCCACCGGAGCAATCGCATTGGGATGCATAATAGGAGTGCTGGCTGTAATGAAGGAAAGTGAAGGAAAGGAAAGAATAAAACAACGAAATAAGGGCAGTTCACTCGCGGAGTATAGTTATGATACCTCACTACGTAGTACTAATACAACAACCAAAACAAACACCTGCAACAATGATCCATCTTGGAGTGACGCACGAATGATGAACTACACATCGTGTGACATTTTCCATCTTTCAAATGAATCCACCGCAATCAGAGTCCGAGTCATATCGTACAGATTCCGTACGACGCGAGTATTCCGCGATACTGTAAAATTCTGTGGGGGCGCATTGATCTAATCACCTCTGCATTTCTGCTACCCATTCGAATGTTTCATGTATTAAATATATGAAGTATGCCTAGGTAGGTAGTGTTCGGTTACATGGCTCGCATGGAAAGGGGGTTTCTCGCTTTTCTCGCCTGATTACCTCAAGATGACCTTTTGTACAGGTCAATGCAAAGCACTAAGCATTTCCACCATCCAAATGAATCATCTCGGTCGTGCGTATTCTCATTGCAGATATGGATGATCCCGTTTTTCCAACTATAAAAACCCATTGACGAAGATCTCAATGGGAATCTCCGTCCCGGATTTTTGGAAGCGAATCCGTAGACGGAGGATGGTGCTCAGACTCGAGATCATTTGATGCAGGAGATGGATGGAATGGATAGCCACGCACGCCACAGTCGATGCGCAGTGTAGGTAAGATCAGATCACACGTTTGATATCTCCGAGCAGGTGTCTAATCGCCTAGGATGCCAAATTTCGAATGAATCCTGCTATGCTCACGACAAGAAAATGATAGAAAGAGAGTAAGACGGGTATCAAGATCTCGAGTCAGTGATGATGATATTACTTTTTACTTACCAGGTATGTAAGTTTCCTAAATATGCATCCAAATATAATCATACCCAGCACATACTTTCCCATCCTCCTATTCCACCTTGTGCGCCCCTCGGAATCCGGAACTGATTCACCATCATCCTATCATCCACGGACGTCAATGCACAAACCTACCTACCTGCCAAAAAAGCTTGTCTCCTATAAACATCAATAGCGACGGCAATTGAGCAATCATCTTTCGATCTCATTCGTAAAATCACTGACTAATTTACTAATTTGCTATTGTCCATCAAGATCCAGACGGCTCTTGAATTACTTGGCAACACGTGGATTATTTTTTATTTGATAATTTTGATTTGAGTTTGCTGCCGCGGTCTTTAATTTCTTCGACCTAGTAGTGCAAATCTAGGACCCTTACATCTCCTTCCGCTTTGAACAGTATGCAGATATGATTGGGTAATGTACCGTACCTCTGAGAATCCAGGGTTTTCTCACTTGCTCGTAATCGGAAATGCTCGACCTGCTTGCCGCAAGTCCACGAGGAAGGATGGATTGCACATGCAGTCCACGTGACACAAATGAGGTATTTATTCTATTGGTTCATTTTACTTCGCATGTCATTCATTTTGTCGAGTATCTCTGGCGGTGAGAACCTGCTTGCTTGCCTTGTTTGCGTGCATCTTGTTCGCGGCGGCCGGAGGAGAATACAGATTAAGTTTAAGGTCTTGAGTTCGAGGACCTTTGATGCGTGGGGTTGTGGTTTTGAAGCTTACAAGTAGGTTGCATCTGCATTAGTTGGTTCTGTAGGCAATGTAAACATTGCATGTGGGAGAAGGATTGAGGACGGTGGATGAAATTGATTTGAGAGCGGGTAGCGCGAGACTCGCGCGAGAGAGGATGTTTTGATTGTTCTGATCTTGTGGTTTAATTTGAATATCCGGGTAGAATATCAAATGTGGAAATCTGGACTGTAGGTAGGTATTGAGGAAAGCATTGAAGCTGAGTACCTACTGAAGTTTCGTTCTCGGGTCCATCCCTTAATTTCAATTCGCTTGTGAGACGGTCAATTCTACCAATGCAAGACCGCAAACATACGACATGTAATGCATAATATCAGAAGTTCAATTGACCCCCGCAGCAATTCTGTACCTACAGTATTTTATCATTTCAAAGTAAATAAACAAGAAGAATTGGTCCGTGTGATTGTTCAAAGTGAAGGAAGTGCAGGTGAGCAGATGATCATATTACACTTAAGATTTGGTTTTCATCACCATAGAGCATCGTGGCATCCGAATATTGTACCACCAATTAAATAATGGTTGATATCAGTCATATTATGACGAAGAGGGCGCAGCACGCACATCAGATTTTATCGTTCCTCTGGATTTCCCTCGTGGGGTTGAAGTTCATTCGATATGTACAAGGAGCCAGGCGAGCTCATCCCTTGCGAACAATTTCATGCAGCTGTCTTCGAACGTGGCAACTCTAAAATTTGTATATTGCCCAGGTGCACGAAGTTTTCGACTCTCCTATAACTTCAGCGTTAAAATCCCAGCATTCTGGTGGACTCGTCGACCATGCATTGCACTACAGCGCTAATGTGAATGAATGCCTGTTTGTCATACCATGTTTTTATTGAGGGTTCTTTAGTCTCGAGTTGAGGAAATTGTAAATTTCAAGGACTCGATCTCGACTACCGACTGCTGTAGAACTAGTGATAAGATCGTCAAATAGCTAGACAAATATTTCGGGAGATGAACATCGATTGTGTATGTGCTATTATTATAGATTGTGTTCTCCGTTCAACCGTGGTGTGTGCGTGAGCTATGAGGTAAGATAGGAGGATATCATTCCCGTCCCGTAGAAATTCCGAATGTTCTTCGTCACCATTATTTGCGTGCACATCATGTCAAGCCATATCGAATATGATACATGGAAAATGGTGTAACATCGACTTTCTTGGATTACTGATATTCCGGCCCCGTCAGAAAAACGGTAATTATACGGGGTGGGTATCAGTTTTGGGGCTGAGTCGTTGTTGTCAATGCTGATTCATGGGGATCTGTAGGTGTGGTGGGATGTGTGAATGGCTTGCATATCTTCCTTGAAGAAGGTGTACAGTAACCATAAAGGCATTTATTGGATTCATATGTTTGTTCTCATGGTAAGGCGTGAAAAGAGAACGTTTCGATGGCTTCTCGATGGTTTCTCAACGAAAGATGTTTGAAGTTGGAAATGAATACCTTTGATAGAAACTCCTTCATTGACCGAATTAGACGAGACATTTCCATTCGTTCATGTGGTGAGCCAATAATCGGGCAAACAGATCGCTGGTTGAATCGGTTGTTGCAAAATAAAAACATACATCCTCTATTTGCTTATCTGCATGTGTGAATGCTTACTTAGATTGGCTGACAAGAGAAATATGTTTCAATGGAGTCAAAACCGTTTCCGGGGAAGTAAACTATGCTGGCTAAATGTATGTTTTTGTGGATGGATTGTGGATTCCGATAATCTTTCTCCTCTGATTTGATATTATTTCTCTTAACCCTAATCTTGACCTGCCCGTATATGGAGTTCACCAAGCCGCCATGCCACCATTAGGTTACAAAATAATTTGATGGTTTAAACTTTGGACCGGGAGACAGATAGTAAAGTCCTACTCTATGGCCTTTCAAATTGACAGTTCAAACTTCAAATCATACGAGGAGAAGAGGAGCCACTGCCCAGAAACTGATGGCTGAAACTTTGTACATGCAAATCAAAATTTGGTGCTGGGTAAGAACTGGGTCTTTGATATATTGAATTCTTGTAGATTATAGATTATAGATTATAGATTATAGATTATAGATTATAGATTATAGATTATAGATTGCAGATTGAAGATTGTGAGTGTGAGTGTGAGGTATCTGCATGTGAGTAGTCGGATACGGGTAGTAAAGTACACATTGTACGGAGTAGGTACTAGGTGTTGTGGCATTGTAGTAGTGGCAGCGAATAAAGCAGGGGAATAAAAGAGAGGAATGCTTTCCAGCCTATATGACCAAACTGTTGATGATCGGAGGCAGGTGGTCATCATTCATCCTTTATTTCGTTGGCAAAGGGTGCAAAGGCTACTCCGTATACTGGCACAGTCACCAAACCTGCTTGATGTGACTTGATGTGACTTGATTTGGCTTTGACTTGACGTGACGTGACTTGACTTGACTTGACTTGACTTGACTTGACTTGACTTGACTTGACTTGACTTGACTTGACTTGACTTGACTTGACTTGACTTGACTTGACTTGACTCGATCCACGATCAAGGAAAAGACAGGAGTATGAGTAGTAAAATAATAATGAACGAATAATGCACTCGATGAATGAAATTGAAGTGTTTCGCTTCGAGGAGACTAACCAAACAATTACTACTTTGGAGAAAATAGCGGAATCATTAGACCATGAAATACTTCATAAACCCTTACTACCTGGCTACCTAGTATTTCTTCCACCCATTCCTTGACTCCCACCACCACTCACCTTCACTCCCAACACCACTCCCTTTCACTCCCACCACTCACTTCTCCCCTCTCTCTTCACGCCCACCAAGTCCCCCTTCCAAGAACAATAAACACCAACCAACTCCTTCGTACAAGCACAAGCGATCAGACCCAGCCCACTTTCTCACCCACGCAATAATCCTCATTACCCTCATTTACCTTTACCCTTTACCCTTTACCCTTTACTCTTTACCCTGATTGCACGCTACACACTGGCCACACCATAAACCAACGAACTGATCGAACTGCGTCTTTGGTTCGTTTCAATCACAAACACTCAAATCTTAATACTGTGGGTTAATGGTCACCGTATTCCTCATATAATTCATTTTCATCGCCCAGTTTTCTGTCAATCTATTCACATTTCAACTTGTCCTCCAAACAAAGGAACATAACCATATAATTTGGTAAAGCCAAACCGGCCTCGGTGTCCCGCTGTTCTAAGCCGGCGCCAGACGGTGCAAGGCTCTGCCATTGTAAAAAAAAAAAAAATCCC